CTGTCTGCAGGCTATTCATTAACATATTAGCATGGAATTTACAGCCTGTTTGCATCGGCAGTACAATTTGAACATCATAAATAAACCTCCCCTGTGATAACTCTTTCTCTGCTGCGGTGAGCACTGGTTTTCAAGCAATCATCTAGCCGTGTTTGATTTCAGAGAGTGCTTTAAGTTATTGACTAGAAGCAGTGTAAAAGCACTTATTGCTGAATCTGAATTAGTGATTTAATCTGGATTAATGAGATTCCAAGCATACCCTTGTGAAAAAGTGTGCTTGAAGCTATAGTTCATCCAAAAATGAAATTTCTGTCATTATTTACCTTCATGACGTTCAAAACCCGTAAGACCAATCCAAAAGGTTTCTGAACCAGCTATAGGTTGGAAAGCTATAGACAGCGTCATTGCAACTTTCAAAGCCCAGAAAGGTAGTGAAGACATTAAGATGTGGTTTAACCTTAATGTTATGAAGCGACGAGAATACATTTTGTTTGGAAAAAACAAAACAAAAATAACGACATTATTCAACACTTTCTTCTCTTTCGTGTCATTGTGCTACACAGATGACGTAGTAAACGCAGTACAGCATTTCCAGGTTGTACGTCAGAATTCCGGCTCACCGTTGTTTGATGCTGTTTACTTGAGGACCATTACACACACACACACAACTATTTTAATCGATGTCTTTACTATCTTTCTGGGCCTTGAAAGTTGCAATGGCGTTGCAGTCTATGTCTGGTTCAGAAAGATCTCAGATTTCATCAAAAATATCTTAATTTGTGTTCCGAAGATGAACTCGGGTCTTACGGGTTCGGAACTACATGGGGGTGAGTAATTACTTACAGAAATTTCATTTTTGGGGTGAACTAACCATTTAATTGTACTGAATGTGCGCTTGAAAGCATCTTAAAAGTATATTTTTTAAAACTGTACTTGTAGATAAATGAAGATAATCAAGTACATTTTTAAACAGAGCACTTTGTAATAATGTCAAATGCAATGTTTTATTTTAAAATACATTTTAATTCATTGTTTAATATTTTCTGTGTTTTAGAAGGCGTACCTTTATTTTGATATTGACTAGCATTCTAAAGCACATGTAAAATACTTATAAATTTAAGTAGTGTTATTCGATGTTATATTTTAAATGTACTAAATTGGAACTTTATTAAAATGTGTAATTACAAATACATTTAAATGCAAGACCATTTTAGTAGAAATGGCATTATAGTTTATTTTAGTTTACCGTAAATAATTGTCAGTAAATTAGAACCATATTCCAAAGACAATATGCAAAGTAGATATGCAAATTTAACACATTTAAATTTAATTGCAATAAAAAGTGCCAAGTATGGGCTTATGAATATTCTTTTGAAGTATAATAAAAGTTCTTTTTTTTTTACAAGGTAGTCTAGTAAACTATTTTTGCAATAACTTGGAAAACCGTATTGCATATATGAAATTGAGAAATACTTTGAGTATGAACAGTGATCCGTTAAAAATAATTAATGGAATCTATAAAAAGAAATATAAATCTGTTTCTCTCTCTGTGCTGTGGTTCTGTTTAAGAAGTCAGAGATTAATCTGCCGTAAATCTGATTTGTTCTCTTAGATGGTGTGTGTAAGAGACTGCAGAGACAAGTTAGGTGTGTGTGTGTGTGCGTGTTTGTGCTCAGGGCGAATCTCTATGCTTCAGTGAGTCGGCACTGAAGAATCTCTGCCTGGAAAAAATGCAGAGAATAAATGATGAAGGAGGAGAAATGGGGGGAAAAAGAAAGAGTGATGGCTGCTGAGGCTGTTACTGTGTGTGTGTGCTTAGTCAACCATGAGTTCCTATTACAGAATGTCCCGTGTAAGTGAGCGGTATACGAAGACACGCATATAACCGATATACAGATAAATTACAGCTTGACCCCTGTGGTGTGTAAATTCAATCCAGGTGGCTCATGGTCATTGTGTTGTGTAAAATACTAAATACTCATCACTTCAGCCCGTGTGTCATTAGTTATTCTCTTCCAGTTTCTGACAGGTCAGCATCACCCCAGACCTGTTAAAAAAATCTAAAATAAAAAAAACAATGCACATATATTCTTACAAAAAATAGAAAAATAGTTTATACTATTTAGTTGTGGACACGCAATGCTCTGATTACTGATTGCTTCTCTTGCTAGCTGTTATTGACATTACATTATTTTACAAATCAGCCATCAGAGCTGTGGTTACTAAGACTTTAAGTATAGATTTGGGTGCTTTTGTTTTTAAACCTAATTTTTAAAATCAAGCCATTTTTAACTATTTCATTAAAATATAAGTGTCTTTACACATATTTAAGCAGCATCAGATTCCCAATCATGGATTTTAGCTAATACAACAGCATGATTGATAGTGTGATATTTATACTAAAGTTAAATAAACAAGAAGTTACTATAGAGAAACAATTTGGCCATATTTCTTCCCCCTCTAACGCACAGACTGAAACAGAGTTGTGAAGGGAATGGATGGAGCTAGAGCAAGAGAAAGTTTCTAGACTAAATTGGCTTACAAGACTTTTATAATAAAGTGACGTAAATTAAGGAGTTCTGTGTTTAAATCTTAAATAGCCCACATTGTGCAGTCTATACACTTGGGTTAGCATCATTAAATTTCATTCGGATCAGCTGTCTTTAGACATGGATGGCTGTCTTCGTTGTTTCGCTGTGATTTCGTTGCTAACGTAAAATGTCTCACTCTTAAAAGCATGGTCAAACTCAAGCAAGTGCATTTTTATGCACTGATAAGTGTTTAAAATAATAGTTTTGATGGAAATGAACCATGATTTGGTCAGATATGGTTTTAGAAGGAAAGGACTTTTTTTCACTCTGAAGAGCATTTTATTGGACGAATTTGTGGCTATGCCTCTGAGAGCATATTTTTGTAAAAAAAAAAATTAATATAGAGGAAAAACTGTAACCATTTAAGTTAATTTTGTCAACTTTTAGGAGTAAATAGAACTTACACTAGCATATGGATGGCATAAAAACTTACAGACATGGACTAAAAAGCCACAAAAGTCCAATTGTGACTTCATTGGATCTTTAAGTGACAGTTTGGGGCCAAATGGCTTCTCAGAAAATGAAGTGGATAAAAGCTGTTTACTGCTGAAAACTCCTTCTTAAAAGCTTTTGTAGCCGATTGGTCCAATTAGAATCTGACAAGATGAGCTTCTGTCGTACCAGGCGTAATGGTCACATTCAAATACATGCTGAAATTTGATTATGTAATTTGATGATTTATTTATTTATTTATTTATTATTTTCAGCCTGTCCATCAAAGAACTGTGTGCCTTGTAGCATTGTATTGACTAAACTCATAATCTGCACTGACACTTCTCTAAGACATGTCTCATTCTCACTTGTTTGTCCATTTCTTTCTTCAGTGTGAAAATTAAGTGATTGCTGCAAAACCGCTGTTCTTGTGTCTCTGGATGACTGCCCACCAGCTGATGCCACTGGCCACATTAAATATCGCATCACTTCCTGCACATTTATTATGGTGAGATCATTGTGACCGCTGTGCAGAGCACTAAATGCAACTAGACTCATTTTTTATTTAAGAAACTTAAAACAAATTCATTTATTTAATTTGTTTGCAACTAGCATAGTTGAGCAGAACAAAAATAAAGAAATAAATAAGATACAATATACCAAGAAACATCAGCTTCTGCATGCAATCTTACTATTCATTCTAATTTATATTTTTTGTAACACTTTAAAATAGATATACTTCTAAATACTTTGTTTATAGTTATTTTCTAGTTGTAGTCTTTACATTGTTAGTATTAATAGGCTGTATACAAATAGTTCTTTATTCATTGTCACTGTAAATAACACGTGTGTGTGTGTGTGTGTGTGTGTGTGTGTGATATTTGTAAACATTTTAAGAAACTTTGAATATGAATGCATGTAATGAGAGCTCACAGGTATTTGAATGTCACCTGCAGTGAAATTAATTTTATTCCCAGCTCTCAATCATTATGCAGAATGAATGAACTTTCCACTTGCCTGAATATAGGACAGATAATTCCCCAGGGCTTCTGGTGTGTGTGTGTGTGTGTGTGTGTGTGTGTGTGTGTTGTGCGTGCATTCGTATGTACGTGCGTGTGTCAGTGCTTATGCATATGCATTAATTAGTAAGTTCCTTTAATCAATCTCTTAAGCTTGCAGCAGTATTATAGTAGTGTCATTAAGATACTATAGTAAATTGGATTGGGGGGGGGGGGGCAGTGACATTGTTACTGTTATGCTACATAAAGTGTAGTGCTAATGCATCAGTGATAATTAATATATAGAACAAATTAATCTATAGAATATAGAATTGTTTTTAGTTTTAAGGCCTCATAGATTAGCTTTTGTCGTGCAGTATTTTGCAAAGCTTGTGAGGGAACCCTATTATGTTTATCAAATGTTTTTTTTCCCTCAATATATCTTTTATGCTTTTCTCTGTCGTGGGAGTACGGGGCACTCAAAAGAAATCAGATCAGCTGCGTTCCATCTGTGCTGCTGTTTCAGAGTGAAAAAGCCAGCTGTAGACAACATCACTGTTTCTGTGGCAATCATTTATTGTGGGCGAGTTGCGTGCTAATCTGAATCCAGTTCAGTGCGCAATACATTTCATTAGTGACCTCTGTAAGAAACTGGTGGAAGATTGGTCATTTTGGGCAGTTAATTCTTTTTATAGATATGTGTGACTTAAATAAATATTTGTTTATGTACTATTTGTATATACTTGTCCAGCCATCTGCACATCAAGTTCTAAGTTAAAATTTACCCAAAAGACAAGATGGTCAACTCACATCAGCACACACATGGTTCACTTAGAATGTGAGTGAGATGATTGTGAGAGAATGTGTGTGTCTGCATTCAACAAGAGAGTCAGTCTGATAAATCTGGCACCACATACACAGACATGGCTTGTATGGTCAGTTTAAACACACACACACACACACACACACACACACTCACATAGGAAATAAGGAGCTGATGAAATCTGGGTCGCTGTTAGTCAGCCGTATCCAGCTCAGTGCTGTGAGCTTTCAGTTTTGGGTGATGTCAAGGCTGAAAACGTGGAAGCATGTCATAATTACAGGCACCTGCAGAGAGCTTTTCTCTTAGCAGAGCATATTTAAAGAATAAAAATCCTATAATAGCATAAACACATTGAAACATCAATATTGATGAACATGTTTTGTCAGTCAGTTCTTATAAGCATAAACAAAGGACAGCTTGTGTTATGAAGCACTCCAGAGACAGACTTCACACAGTCAACAGCAGTGATCAAACAGATCAGAGGATTAAAATAGAAAAAATATTCTCCTTACTATATGGACAAGACAAAATAGATAAATAATTATGTGGAAAAAAATAGAATCATAATAGGTGATTAAATCACAAAACTCTTTGAGAACCGCCTGATAAATTCTGAGGGGAAAAAAATATAAATTTGGATTGTTTACACATGCAGTGAGTGCAGTGTGTTTGGTAAAGACCTCAAGTTAACACAGCCTGCAGAGATCTCTATTCGACATAAAATATGAATATTTCTGTTAAAAAATTCATACTGAAGCACCTTACTCTCGTTTATCGACACCTCTTGCTTTTCGACAGATTCGTACTTTAACACTATATGACTAGCATGCCGGTGTGGGATAGTAGCCTAATTGTCCGGACCTGTGGGCTGCTGTACGTGAACTTTACATTTTATCTGCTCGCGCGCGGTAAAACGTTTGGTCCGAGCGCACAAATGGACACGGGATTTGTGGCTGAATATAGAAGGTTTGAACGACGTCTTTGAAGTGGACGGTTCTCAGAGTCGCGTGCCGATTTTTCTGAGCTGTATGCGGACTGCGCACGCGGGTCCGCAGTGGCGGGTTGCGCGCGTGCGTTTGCGCGTACGCGGGTGCTGCTGTTGTAATTTCACGTCACATCAAGTTTGATCAACGGTCCGATTGGATGATCTACAGTGCTGTCCTGAATCGAGAAGCTCTTGCGCTTGTTTGCTCGTATTCGCCTCTCGTCCTGTAGCCCGAATGCACCTATCCGGCATCGCGTGAGGGAGTCGGTGCACATCTGGAGGATTTTGTTGTCGCCCTCGCGCCCGGTCTGGATGTTGCGCGGGAGCTGAAGAATTAGAGGTCGGAGACAAAATGCGGCGGCGAGCGCACGCGACCGTCCTGCTCCTGCCGTGGCTAATGCTGCAAACACAGGCAGGCTTTCCAAATCAGATCAATATCGGTAAGTGATTTGATTATTTGCTTAAAATAATGAAACATCTCCACTTGCACACGTGCTGATCCTCATCTACCTGTAACCTGCTGCATCACCTACATATTCTTAATTCGGGAAGTTTGCACCTCTAGCGCCAAACAGAGTGTGAATTACATGAATGACACTAGTCTACTACTATCTCTCATTCGAACAAGTGTAAATTCAGGTAGATGTTATCCCTAGATCCTAACTCATCTGATCTCACATACAGGTGGTCTCTTCATGCGCTCTACGGTTCAGGAACACAGCGCGTTCCGCTTCGCCGTTCAGCTCTACAACACCAATCAGAATATTACTGAGAAACCCTTTCACCTGAATTATAACGTGGACAATCTGGAGTCGTCCAATAGCTTCTCAGTCACGCACGCATGTGAGTTTCTGCTCTCTTTTTTTCTCTACATACAATCATGCGGGACATCCCGCACCTGTTCTCCTTTAAGTGTTCATAACGATATATATTTATATATATATATATATGAAGAGTTCAGATGCAAAAGCCTCTAAATGCCATTTGAAATTTTCTTCTAAAATGACCATTTTTATCAAGCTTGTATATTTAAGTTCAGTAATTTCACTTAAATAACAATTAGTAATCTTCATTGCCATTTAAGTGAAATTACTGAACTTAAATATACAAGCTTGATAAAAATGATCATTTTAGAAGAAAATTTCAAATGGCACTTAGAGGCTTTTGCATCTGAACTCTTCATATATATATATATATATATATATATACACAGAATAATAGACATAGGAAGACTTAGAAAAGACTTGTTCTTGTGCTCAATTCTCACCAAAGATGTAGGCTTGATTTGCAAGGACATATTGTGAGGAGGCTGGAGACAACCCTCAGATTCTAATTTTTAAAACAATTCAAGCAATGAGTCACAGGACCTTGATCATTTTCACAATGTAGGTGTTGAGAAAATGCAATTGTGTGGAAGTCTCATAGTACATGCATGTACAATATTCCCTCACATCACAAGTCTAAATTTTCATAATTTCTCAGCCCACACCCTATAAATAAGACTGTTGATCAGTTCTGTTTCTGATATCTGAGTGTATGTCACTGAATCCCATACTGTTTTACCTGTTGTTACAAACTTTAAAGTTCATTGTATGCATTAAGGATGAATTCTTTTTTTTTTTTTTATTAAGTATTCTTCTTTCTAGTCTAGTTGGACTAGACGTCAAAAGGCGTCAGCGTTCGTCATGAAGCGCTGCCCCCACAACTACAAAAGACACATGCTCCATTTTTTTTCCTTTAAACATTTTCTCCAGTGAATTCATAAAAAAAACCCAACCAAATATAAACTGTAATATTTAGTCTTTAAACACAGAGAAAATGTTCAAAATGGAGCATGCATGTGTAGTAAAAATGTTTCATTTTGTTGGAGGTGACAAAAAGCTAAGGTTTTAATTTCCAATAATGAAGTCATTTATTTGTAGTTATTATTAATATAAAGAAAGTGAGTTAGTGAAAAAAGAAAAAAGAACAAATAAAGACTGATAGTGTGGGAAGTTGGCAAAGAAAAGGAATGGAGAGAAAGAAATGTGAAAACTCTTCCGTGGCACAAGCCTCAGGTCTTTATAATGGAGAGATGAAGAAAAAGGGAGAAGGACTGCGAGAGAAAGAGCGATGATGATGAGTGCAGGCTGACATTTGCACACATGCCCAAACCAGTGCAAGGGTTAGTGCCCTGCACTCTGTGTGTGTGTGTGTGCGTGTGCGTGTGCGCGAGTGAGAGAGCTTTACCATCATTATAAAATGCCTGTTTACAGCTGCTGTCATTACCATTTTGTGTCTTCGACTGGCCTGGCTGCTCATCTGAGCGTGTCTATGTGAGAGACTGTGTTTGTGAGCTTTTGGTTTCCTCTCTTATCATGGTGTTATTGCTGCAGTCATTGATCTTTCTTCACTGCATTAACACACACACACACACACACACACTGCTCCAGGCATCAGGTTGGCCCATTGGACAAAAAATCGCTGGGCTTTTAAAAACAATATAAAAAAAAGATTTTCCAAGTGGAGACATATGCACATGCCCCTCAAACTCTGAAGGTGATTTTAAAGTTTAATGAATAAACTGTGGAGATGCTCTCAAAGCTCAAAGTACATATCCAGGAATAACATGACAGGAATGACAAAGTGCTTTAACAGTGATGCAAGAATGCTTCATAAATAGAGACAGACACTTATTTTTCTCTCTGTGGTGGTGTTTGAATCAGAGCACACAAACTTTTGCATGCAGGGCCTGTATTATTCAGGTGTGAGCTGGTTATAGCTCAGTCCAGTCGCTCACAGTGTTGTGAGTGCGATTTGTGCGTCAAATGGATCCTGCGAGAAAAGATTTTGACAACACGCGTATGCAGTGACCCTGCTGTTTTAATTGAGGCAATCTGTGTAGTGAAGAGAAAACGGTAGGGGTCAGAGGGTTTGTAAACAGGTTATTTTTCACTCTTTTGCTCTCTCTCCCTTTCTACGATTTTCCGTCTTCTCATCATTTTTTTTACTTATTGCTCCCTGAAGCGTTCAAAACAGATGAAAAAAAGGGCAGAAAGGTAGTAAGCAGATGTAACCTGCTTGCTCAGAAAAACAAATGAAGGAGGGAGAGACATGTAATCATAACCATGTCTCTATAATTTCTGCATAGTGTCACCAAACAGAATTGTAAAAATAAAGATGGCATAAAATAGAAATTCACCTTATCTATTTTCTAAATGCGTCTTCTGAATCTTACTAAACGAAATGCATTTCTTAAAAAAAAAAAAAAATCTATCAAAATGGCTTGATATTCTGTTTACAATCAGTTTTGTTTTTCCTTTCTATAATCCGTTTCACTAACATGTAGTATATCACAATACATACTGTACGAAAATATTTAGGGTGCTCCGATTGATCTGCGACCAATCGCTATCGGTCGATAATCGCAAATCTCTCAATTTGCTCTCATAAACCGATCTCATGCTCTGTCCAGCGTGGGTAAAAAAAAAATATTAGATTAGATTCAACTTTATTGTCATTTCACAGAGTACTAGTACAGTACTAATGAAACACATCTTTGGGCTATGTGTACATTTATTTGTGCTATTTGTGCAACAAAATTGCCCCATTGTAAAAACAAAAATGCGCTGCATGTGAATTTTTTTTTTTGTTGAAAAATGTCTTAAAAAAACTACCCCTCCCCCCTCAAAGGAAAAAAAAATCCTCCCACAAGATTCACAAATGTCTGATTGGAGCATTCCTATAAATAATTCTACAAAAAGGCTTCAAATGGATCATGATTGGTGATCGCCTTCAGCAGATATACTGCCCCCCATGATTAACGATTGGCTCCAAAAATCCTGATCTGAGAGGGGTCATCGCCATCGGAGGCAAAATTCCCTTTTATATGGTGTTTGCATGAAAATGTGTCTTTGCGTTGTGTGGACACAGCCACCATACAAAAAAATGCATTCACTCCTTTTTTTGGCCCTCAAAAAGTCTAAACACTCTCAATAATCAAGCCGTTTGGATTTTCTGAGCTATATGATGTCATATTACTCATGCACCACCCACAGCCACTGATGTACTGTCTCGTATTAGCATATTTTCGCCCTCAACCATTTGTATAGTGTCTGCCAAGGCAGCAATTTATGTGTCTTGTAAGCAGTTGCTCATTTAAAGAGACATGCACCGAAACGGGTCACCAAAGTATGTTACAAACTTTACATGAAAACCCTAAAGAATCATACCAGCTTGTGGAAAATGGGCATCTGATGTCCACTTTAAGGCCAATTCACATTGCACCAACAGATGCCGACCAATGCCGACAGAGCCGTCGCAAGGGCTGTGCGAACTGTGCAACCGGTCAGGGCTTCGTGCCACTAGAGGGCCTCGCAATCCAGTTCCCCCCTCCGAAAAAAAACAATTCTGATTGGTCTATTTTTTGACATGTTAATTTCATCAGGTGGAAAGCACTAATCGCTAATGGGGGTGTTTTCAGAGCACCCCTGTTTCACAGGTAATAGCCTGTCTTCAGAACACCCCCCTTGTTTTTACTTTTTGGGATTAGCCCAGCCCACTGGAGACAGATTGAAAAAAATACTAGGCCTTGGTCTAGAGAGTATTTGATTTTTAACATTATTCTCTTAACATTTACATCAATAGTCTGGCATTCCAATTGATTTGCTTTTGGTGTACTGTGGAGTGGGTAAAACTTGTTTTAATGGCAGGCTAGCAGTTACCGTTGACTCGCGCTAGCCTAGCACCGGCGAACTAAGCAACTGGAACGACTGGATGAAACATTTTTGAAAACTGTCTCCGCTGGTAAATAACGCTAAGGCTAACTTGGAAATGAGGCCCGATGTCCAAAATCCCGAACCACCTAAAAAGAACTGAATGTGTCTTTCTGAACATTTGGTTTGTTCCATCATGCTGACAGAGGCGCAATCAATATAGAAAGAGACATATTAGACAGATACCCCTTGGCCCCGCCCGAGGCATAAGAACTAAGCGGCTGTGCTTGGGGCCCCCAATCGAGTCGAAAACAAGTGGCAACATTCTAATCTGAAAAATGAAACCTACCCGGAAGTGCGAAAAACTGCAATACATCTAAAATCCGCTAGAGGGAGGTCCCAAAAGGGAGCAAATATCCATAGACCCCATGTTATAATGTCCGTATTCACAGCATAAATTCCTGCTTTTACAGGTTGGTCCCATGGACTTTTATTGTATTTTTTGATAGGTTACGAGTGCCTGACAACTGTGAGGGGGGTGAACTTTTTTCTAACTCGTTAGTTTATATCATATTTAGATAAAAAATGTATGACAAATAAGGGCGGTTAACTTTGATTGACAGCTGATAACGGGCTGCGCCGAGTGGAATTTGACGTCTCGGACATGATCTGACACACATGATAACACATGATACCACTTCTGTATCCTTTCTGAACAATGGGCTCTATGCACGGCGGTATTTCCGGTGAAGGTGTAAGGATGCTCGATAACTTCCGCCGATCGTAGAGTCCAATGCAATACCGAGAATTTATATTGAATTTTATACTCCATGGTTGTGACTAAAGAAACGTTAGAAAATGACATAGGTGGAGAAAATGACATAGGTGGAGAAAAAAGAGCAAGATAAAATCATGTTTGCATGATTATTTACGGTATGTTTTGTGCAGCAATTGAACCATTCCTATCGGCAAGCCCAGAGGGGAAAAATACATTGCATATACATATCCAACGAGCGCCAGCACATCATTACCTGTATTATTGTAACATAATTTGTTAGTTTCTGTCATGTACAATAATAATAATAAGACGAAGAAGATTTTGTGGACAGTTACACTGTGTTGAGACTGTATTGAGTTTTCAACAATAATTGTCATTCTTGAACCCTTGCTCTTATAATGTTTTTGATTTCTCAGTTGTCATTATTTTAGCAAATAATTGATTTGATATGTTTTGAGACAGTTTGTTTTAAGAAGTTTCAAATAGTAAAGTAAAAGTTAAAAAATATTTAAGTAGGCTATCTATTTTTTATGAAGTATTTACATAACCTCACTCTATTAGTTTATAATGTATCGTAATTGCGTGATATTTGTGTCAATAACCGGCAAGCACAGGTGACTCCGCGTAGTGGGAGGGGCCCCCAAATGAAATTCTGCTTAGTGCCCCCAAAAGGCTCGGGCCGACTCTGTATACACGCACACCACACACCACAACATAATATGCCTACAGAAAAACAGCTCTCATTTTGTGTAGATATGATGTGTATGGTTATTTTTCTTTGGACTCGTTTAATGACTATCCAGTTGGTGAATGCCGACTGCTATATTATTCTCTCATAGCAAACTTCGGTTGTAGAAAACTATTTCTGTCATATTTATAAAGAATGTCAATCACAAATAATTGCATTAATTTATATTATAATACAGTTGGTTACTGTATATATTATTAACCAAACTAAACTCCAGAAGCTTTGTATAAATTTAGTGTGAAGGTGGAATACATCAATAATATTGCTTTATTCTTCATGTAACACTAACAATATGTAACACTTCCTCAAGATTTAATTTTGTGCCTAATTTTTTCACTGTTTGCGCTTACATTGTGCTTCAGTAGAAGTTGCAGTGACCACTGAGGCTAAATGTGGAAACGTTCATGTATAGATAACTCGCTTGAACAATTACTAAAACGTCCATGTCAGCAAAAAAATATAGGCTGTGTGTCTCACTGATCATTGTCCAAGTTCTCTGATTGTTTTTAATCAGTATTAAAAGTAAAATAATGGCGGGCACGATTGCGCTTCTGTGCACCATACAGCCTCAGCCACCTACTGGACTGGAGTGTGGACTGATGGGTGGTGCCAGGAAAGCAATGCCAGCCACCACAATTTTAGTGGATTAAAATTCTGATCATTAAAAAAACAAACATTTTGACTGACTCCTAATTTAAATATTGAGTATGTTTCCCCTTCAGTGTCTTTGGTGGGTATGACTCTATGTATAGGCCTACGTGTGTGTGTGTTTGCAAAGGTGGTCTTTGTTGTTGTTGTTTTTTGCTGTACCAAAGCTCTAAAATGTGTATGAATATATATTCTCTTTGCTGCATCACCCTTTGAGCATATTTTTTTTCAAGTTAGGCTGCGTATGTGTGTGTTTATCTGCGTGTGATGATTTTTAACCTCTGGGCTCTCTGAGTAATTTGACATTTGCTTGTATTTTCTTCCTTTTCTCCCTCATGCTTACGTGCCACATAATTCTTTTGCTTTTTTGTTTGTATGTCTTCTGGACACATTTGGGAACATTTGTCCTGTTTGGTCCTTTTCCTAGAATCAACTAACCTCTAAGCCTTCCATACTCCCTTATTCTCTCATATTCTCTTCTTTTCAAGAGGCAGGTGTTTGTGTAAAAAAATGCTTTGGGAAACAAATAGTAAAAATGTACTCTTTCTGGATAACATATGGTTGTATATATTCAGTTAATAAGACAGCAAAAGCTGAATTGATGCTTAACACAGAATTTTGTAAGGATTCATTCATGATTAGGGTTGTGGAGACGTCAGTGAACTCAATCTGTCTACTGTCAGCTTAGCTACATGGTTGCTAGATTTAGAAACATTTGCAGTTTATCTTAAATAATTTAGATCACTTCTGCATTTAGGGTATTTTAAAATAAATAAATAACAAGACAGACATAACAAGACATTTGATTTGTATTTTAGAAGAATGTACGCCATATTGCAATACATGCAGTCTGTGAAATCAAATTTGATGTCACAATCTCTCCCTATCTGCTAGCAGGCTATTGTCTCTTCAGGTTTTTTTTAAAGACACACTCAGACATACACAAGTACACTCAGTATAGAGTGTCATAATACAAAATGCTTGTAAGTTTGTGTGTTTAATGTTTGTTTATTTTAAAATGTACTGACTGATGCTTCCATCTCTCTCTTGGTCTGGCAGTCTGTTCTCAGTTCTCCAGGGGTGTGTATGCAATATTTGGATTCTATGACAGGAGGTCAATGAACACATTAACGTCGTTCTGCGGCGCTCTGCACACCTCCTTCATCACTCCATCTTTTCCCACGGACACAGATGTGCAGTTTGTCCTGCAGATGCGGCCGAGCCTCCGGGGGGCGCTGCTCAGCTTGCTAGCCCATTACAAATGGGAGAAATTTGTCTACCTCTATGACACTGATCGAGGTGAGTAAACACACACACACACTAACGCGTATACTTTCAGTGGTCAAGTATTTAAACACTAGTAATAGTTCACCCAAAAATTAAAACGCAATAACAAAAGAAGATATTTTGAGAAATGTGGTGTTTTTTTATTCAACGTAAGTCAGTGCACACTAAAACTGTTTGATTACCAACATTCTTCAACATATCTTCTTTTGTGTTCTGCAGAAGAAAGAAAGTCATACAGATTGGTACGACTTGTTTTGGTGTAACTATACCTTTAAAGTTGTAATGAAATTGAGGTAGCAACAGATCTTTTCTTCCATATTGTGATGCCGAGTTAGCATCTTTAAGCAGCTTATTGAACGTAACAGCATATTATAAAAAAAATATAAATAAAATGCATGCTGGGGATCTCTAGCCTGGTAATTCCAGATTCTGCTACTTCACTTTGCTTCATAAACAGAGTCTGGAATGGCATAATAGAGAAGTGTTTTCTCTCTCGCTAGGGGGCGCTTGTCTGAAGTTTAAAATCATTGGTTACCCGTAAGCCAATCCGATAAGTTTATTTATGATGTATGTTATGCGCCAACACAGCCGCATCGAACCACAGACATCATGCATCGGACTCAAATCTATGATCGAACTTCCACTGCATAACATGGTTTCAGTCAGTAGTATTCATGCACCACAAAAGTGGTGTGCAGTGTGACAAAATAAGAGGTGAGTACGTGTCAAGGACATCCGAACACAAGTGGTCACAGGAGATGCATTTGAAACGCATTTTAATATCAGGTGTAAACAGTAATGGTGTGTGATTGGATGACTGAAAAAGCATCTTAATACCATGCAGGTGGAAACAGGGCCTATAGAATACCAAGTCTGTCAGGGACGTGCACTGACTTTTTGGAGGGCAGGTGCTCAAATGAAAAAAGGTAGCCCCTGTATAATTACTTATAAAATGTAAAGTTTCAAATTTTATGATTACTATTTAGCACTACACACATTATAGGGCTGTTATACCAATTAATTGTAATCAGTATCAACAAAATGCATCTTGCCATTTATCCACCATGTACGTTGCAATTACAATTGCCCAAAAAATGTCATGATATTAATGTTCTAAATAGAACATTCTGAATATAGAACTATGAAATGTTGGAAAAAAAGAAATGGCGGCATAATGAGTGTATCATAGAATGATTCATTCAACCAATTCGTTCAAACCGACTGATTCTTTCATGAAAGAAGCAAGTGTCTACTTTATGAATGGGTCATTGAATATTTGACTCAGCTGATTCATTCAATAATTTTTCAATTTTCAATTTCAAAAAAAACTTTATTTATCCCCATGGGGCAATTGCAAGGCCCGTGGATTAGTACAAGTAAAATTTCATAATAAAGCTAAAAGTAACCTTTTAAATAATAATAATAAAGGTAAAAATAGATAAATAAGTGAGCAGATGGGCAGATATATATCAGCATTAGCAACATAGAGATAGTCCGATCAGTCCATAGACAACATAGTCCAATCTTGCAGGTGTCCATATATCACTTCAAAAGTGTGCAAGAAGTAGAAAGTCATCAGGGTAAGAAAGATTTCAAAGATAGTTGGGAGTTTAGAAGCTGGACAGCCTTAGGTACAAAGGTTGCCCTTCTCCTCTGAGTTCTGCAGTTTGGACAGTTTGGACAATAACGGTGAATCATTCAAGAACGAAACACTGCTGTGTGTTACTGGGAGACGCAACTTTTCTGCTTAGTTTGGAACTTGGCAAAAAACACTCTCTTGTATAAAAAAAAAATCATACTGATATTCAGGAAAATAGGGATAGTGTGATATTCCTTAACAATATTATGTTATAAACACAAAATACAAGAACTCATACAAGGGCAATTCATATCTTGAGTTTTGGATGCATTTTTATTTATTTTAGTGTTATTTCTGACCTTTAATGACGCATGTTTATGACAGCAGACTAGCTTGGTTGTGCTTAAGCTTAAAGGGGCAAAATATATTTGCCCATGTGATGTCACACAGGTCACCCAATATCAAAACAAGCCATTTTTTGATCTTGAATAAATAAATGCTTTCTTTATAAGGAGGACATTTTAGCTATGAAAGTTGCAATGGCAGGTGCTTGAGCACCACTTAGGGTCTATCTCTGCACGTGCCTTAGTTGTATTGGTCTAATGTCTGCTTTTGTTCACACAAATATTAGAAATCAGATTTTTACAGCTAAAGCAGTAGACATCATTCCTTATATCATGTATTGTGACCGCAGAGTCAAACATTGGTATTATGGAAGACAGTTTTCCTTTCTGTTTGTGTTCCAAATCACCTGATGGGCTTACGGCCAACAATCACACATTTTTTTCCTAGCTTGTTTACTCTGAAGAGAGTGCTTACTGGGACAGTTTAAGATAACGAGAGAGACATTGTTTTGTTTTCCTCCCTAATGGATTAAACCCATCATACTAATGCTAGAAGTTAATGGAATTTTTTTTGGACCTCCACTTCAATACTACTACAATAGGTGTAAAAATTCAGAGACCTCATTGAACATTTGTACAAAATGTCAGATTTTCTTCCATTGAAGCACATGATCATACTCTTTAGAATCTTATCATTCTCAAATGATATATTTAGTGATATAGCGAAGACAGTCTCAATCTGTTAACACCCTTGAAATCATCCACCACAGTCAGCTGGGAGTTGTGCTGGTAGTGCCAAACTTTAAATGGCTTTACATCACCACAGGGCTTTTGGATCTGTTAAATGTGCTAAACAGTGACGATTAAAAAAAATCTCTGCGTGAGACTGGATCCTTGGCTTGATGGTTCACATAAACATTCAGAGACATCGCGTTGTGATGTTCAGATGGTTGTCGAAATATTTGGCAGAGATACTCAATAAATAATTCAAAAGGCCAAGTATATCATTTGGAAAATGAATCTGTTAGAGGTTAAGAGATATTTAATGAAGGGCTGTAAAAGATTTTGTCCATACAGTGTTTAGCAAGACCCTCTTAATTGCTAATGAGGAACGGTGTTTAATGAACTCATAAACCTTTGCAGGTCTGAGCGCTGCTATCACATGGCATGTGCCCTTCCTCTTAATAACATGTATGACTTTAAGATTTGAAGTGCCTGTGTGTATGTATGTCATTTGAATTCTCACCTCTCTGCAAGCTGTCAGTCTTGATTAATTGGTCACTGCTAAACAGCCTTGCGGTCTGGCACTCTAGGACGTATGCTAATTAAAATAGTGATTGAGAGTATGTGTGCGCGTGTTGTCCTACAATAAATGTGGTCGTGGGGCTAAAAACGAGATCAAATAGAACTGGGCTGATTTGTGCCCTGTGTGTGTGTGTATGGCCTTGAGCTGAAAGGTGATTAAGGGTGTTATTGCTTTTGTTTGCTTTGAACAGGTTAAGTCTTATCTATCTATCTATCTATCTATCTATCTATCTATCTATCTATCTATCTATCTATCTATCTATCTATCTATCTATCTATCTATCTATCTATCTATCTATCTATCTATCTATCTATCTATCTATCTATCTATCTATCTATCTATCTATCTATCTATCTATCTATCTAAAATATGTTTTATTTTTTGCACCACTTTCCTTAGTGATCTCTTGAATACATATAGGATGGAAAGACATTTTTTCCTCCAAATTTTTACAGTAATCATAGCTTATATCAGAGCAAACAAAACCCTCACTGAGGGTCTAATATGTGCTGCAGTGGATCTGAGGTATTGCAGAAGACCTGATCAGTTGCGTAAAATATATGATTTGCAGTGGATTCGATCTGTAGTGGAACGTATCAGAGAAATACAAGGCCACAAACACACTGAATGCATAAAATATGTGCATTCTGCCATTGCATTGGTATCATTGGTGCAGAGTTGCAGTAATTACATTCCCCATGTCTCTTTCTCAGCTTTCCCTCCTTTCATCCCTTCAGATTTGCACTGCATCAGCAGTTCCTGTGTGTTCTCAAACCAGAGAGAGAAATGAAGCTGTACTTGATCCATCATTCTGGCCCAATTCTGCCCTGTTACTACATCTGCACAGGCCCGGGGTAGCAGTGTTTTTCACTCCATGTTTTATTCTCTCTTTTTCTCTCCTACAGGGTTTTCCATCCTACAGGCCATCATGGAATCTGCAGTGATGAATAATTGGCAAGTGACGGCGCGTTCAGTGGGGAACATAGTGGATCCGCTGGAATACCGACGCATTATTGAAGAAATGGATCGTCGGCAGGAGAAGCGCTTCCTTATCGACTGTGAGGTTAAACGCATCAACAGTATTCTAGAGCAGGTAAATAAAAACACACATAATTTCATCTGTCGGCCTGTGGGTCTGTTTACAGTGACTGTCTGTCTGTCATAGTGGAAAGTTCTCAGTCTTGTGGTATCGATCAATACCTTTCCAAAAATCCAAGTCGTTAGCAAATAAGGTGATAAAAATAGTGTGTGTGAAAGCGTGCGTGTGTTTGTCTAAGTAGGGCACGGCGTCCTATAACAAGGGAACAGTGAGATAACTAAAAATACTCCCTTTCCTCTCATCCAAAAATACAGCTCTCAAAGGTACTGTTACATTCTCCGATTCTGTTTGTCTCTTTCACTTATTCTTTCTCTTTTTTTTACCCTCTGTCTATATTTTCCTGTTGTTTTTTTCATCACACACTCATATGCATTGAGACAGAGTAGAGAAGAATGTGTGTGCGTGTGTGTGTCACTAGGAGGTCACAGAGATAATGAAATCCACAAGTAGATCAATCAGTGCTCAGAGAAAGCTAATAAGAGCTCTGCGCTTTCAGCAGACTGGCTGTCTGTTGCTATTTGTAAATCAATAGCTGTGTGTGGGTGTGGGTGTGGTTAGGTCATACCTTTATGTTGTGCTGGCACAGCACTAAAATGGATGTAGCAATGGGCACTATTGACCTGATTGGTTTAGTGAAAAAACATTTTAAATCTGTCTATCCATCTATCTGTCTATGTAGATTTTCCCTGTCATAAATGTTGTGGTAGTGACACTTGACATTTTTTCGTTTAAAATAACGTTTTTTTTTTAATTTTTTATATTTGGCTTTATTTGTAATCTCAAATATTCAATGACTATTACCCGTAAAAGGACAATAAAAGACCTTGTTACTCATGGCCCGTGACTTTTCCCTAGTATTCAGCTGTGCTAATAATAAAAATAAAGACGCCATTATTTTTCCCCAGTACACCCCCCCCCCAATTATTTACTAATAATAAAAAGAAAAACGCAAGCAAACTTTTCCTTTCCTCCTCTGGGACTGCAAAATGCCCATAGTTACAGAATCCCCCTTCTGCAGTCAAGGCTTTTGCATTTAATTTATTGCCAATTTCGCCTGTCATTCGTTGTTTTTGATAAACTATCCGACAGAATGCTGGATGACACCCTTCCATTTTTTTATTTTCAGGTTGTGATCTCAGGAAAGAACAGCCGTGGATATCATTACATCCTGGCTAATCTTGTGAGAAAATACACACACATGCAAAGAGCTCTTATTTCCTAACCTTCTGTGAGTGAGCTTTCACTTTTGACTGTTGGCCATTGCTCTCTGCAGGGGTTCTCTAACATGAGTTTGGATAAGGTGTGTTCAGGCGGAGCAAATATTACCGGATTCCAAATCATAAATCCTGATAGCCCGATCGTGCAGCAGTTTCTCCAGCGCTGGGAGCGGCTCGATGAGAGAGAGTTCCCTGAGTCTAGAAACACTCCCCTAAAGGTCTCTCTCTTTATTTCCATGCTTAGTTATGTGCATTTGTGATGTGTTTATTTAGGAGTGTGCCACTTGCGAATATGCTTGGATGTGTAATTTATGATAACATATTTTAATGAGGTTAATGTTGCAGTCATGCAGTAGTTTTATTAATCATCTCTTTTTTGTTGTTTCTTGCCGAAATTCTCCCATACTGCACCTTTATTTAATGGAATCTGAGCACTTATTTGGCCAAAATGCAGTGAATTGAAAAAACTGCTAGTCTTGTGGTTTTCTTTCTATACTGATGTCTCCACGGGTGCAAACCGTTTGTCTGTTTGTTGTCATGTTTAGTATACATCTGCACTGACACATGATGCCATCCTGGTGATCGCTGAAGCATTTCGCTATTTGAGACGTCAGCGCGTTGATATTTCCCGTCGAGGGAGTGCAGGCGACTGCCTTGCCAACCCGGCCGTACCATGGAGCCAGGGAATCGACATTGAAAGAGCTCTCAAAATGGTAGGAGGGGTCCACAAAGGACCTCAGACAGAGAGCTGAGAGACTTCTTCTCAGAGTTAGAAAAACAGCAACATTCACTTTTTTTTTTTTACTATAAATGAATGTTCAGTACTGTTTAGATATGTATTTACTTTTGTGTTTATTTTCACCCGTATGGTTAAAGGATACCTATATTATCTTGAATAATGTTGTTTCATGCTTTTCTTTTCTTTTTATCTTGCTTGTTATTTTGTGGGTGTTACTGTTCCTGTGTGCTTTCCTTCTGCAGGTTCAGGTTCAGGGTATGACAGGAAATATTCAGTTCGACTCCTTTGGACGGCGATCAAATTACACCATTGATGTTTATGAAATGAAAACGGGAGGAGCCAGAAAGGTTAGTGGCTCTGGGAGGGCAGTTTCTATAAATTCACACAATATTAATGTCACAGTGAAGCCACTTTAGAACATTTATCAGTGCTGAAAATGAGACTATATTTACACACTTACCGACCACTATAGGTACACCTTGCTAGTACCGATTTGGACCCCTTTTTGCCTTCAGAGCTGCCTTATTTTATCGTGGCATAGATTCAACAAGGTGCTGGAAACATTCTTTAGAGATTTTGGTCCATATTAGCAAGATAGCATCAGGCATTTTCTGGAGATTTGTCGGCTGCACATCCATGATGCAATTCTCTCATTCCACCACATCACATATGTGCTCTAATGGATTGAGATCTGGTGACTGTGGTGGCCATTTGACAATAGGGAACTCATTGTCATCTTCAAGAAACCAGTTTGAGATGAGCTTTGTCGCATGGTGCATTGTCCTGCTGGAAATAGCTATCGGAAGATGGGTACACTGTGGTCATAAGGGGATAGACATGGTCAGCATCAGCTTCAAGGTTCGACGTCCCAGTAGAATCCCAGTAGATCCGCAGTTTCTGAAGTAATCAGACTACCCTGTCTGAAACCAACATTTATGCCACTTTCAAAGTCACGTAAATTGTATTGACCATGTCTGCTTTGCCACTTGCTGACATGTAATTGGCTAATTAGATACATTAACTAGCAGTTGAAAAGGTGGCCGATGAGAATGAATACTGTATAATGTGTTTTTTTTTTTTCTATAAAAACAGAAAAAGAGTCACTATTAACTCTTTCCCCGCCATCTATGGAATTTTACATCATATTTGACACGACGAGATTCCCGCCATTGATGGAATTTCACTGTTTTATAGTAGGGGGCGCTGTTAAATATCTTCTGAAAGAGTACACAATCTCAGGATCAAAACACGTGTGAAAAAGAAGCAGAAACAAGTGATAGAAGCTCTGCTTATGCACATGTAGTCTTTGATTACATGTGATTTTCTCAGCTATTTTTTCCACACACAAAAAAAAATAGAATGCATGAAGCTAAAATAAAAAAGAATTGTTTAAAAGCAGAGGCTTTGTTCTTTCTTTTGATATTTTGATATTGCATGTTCAAATATTCATGCAACAAAATATTCTGGGGGCCATGAATTTTTATGGAAATTATCAAAAATGCTGGCAGGGAAAGAGTTAATCAAGAGACACTCTTTTAGAAACTCATCATTAAATATTTAATTTGTTTCCCATTTCTTTTTTCTTAACTGTTATTTATAGTACAAATAAACATTTTATCTTATAAGATCAAGGAAAATTGTATTTCTCACTTATACCCTTTAACGTGCACTTGGATGCTCCAGCTACCGTCATACTTGCTTTTCTCCTCCATCATTCATGAGATTATGTTTCTACTGAGTCATTCTCTTCCTGTATTACTCATTTCTTTTATTGGTTGACAGTGATTGATTGATTCTATTTACAGTATGCTTTTGCTGTTTCTGTCCCTTGCAGATCGGCTACTGGAACGAATACGAGAAATTTGTTTATATAGTGGAGCAGCAGGTTACCAACGAATCCTCCTCTGTGGAAAACAGAACCATTGTGGTCACTACTATCATGGTACACTATCTAAAGCTGCTTTTAAATATGCCGAACCATGACCCTTCTGCCCTCTCAGGTTTAGTGTCACAGTTGCATTGCATCCAGGGGGGGCAGAACGTTTTTCTGTTTTGCTTTGCTTTGCACTCACTCACTACATGTTGAAACAGTCGATCACAATAGAGTGTTTCAACTGTATCCGTGTGAGTGCCAAAGCATTTTCAGTTCCATTCCAGTGGCCTGTTGTAGCAGTGACATCACAATACTGGCTTTGGTAAGAAATAGGTTAGAACGTTCCTCTATCTGCTTCTTTCACTTCACCAAACGTAAGTACTGAACGACTGAGATGTCGGGCTGGATGCAAATGACAGTGTACAGAGACACATGCACACAATTGGCTGAGGGTTTTCTCACACATGTGAAATATTAAGTGTTTTATTTTACATCCCCTCAGAGTTCAGATGTTCTCCGCATTTTCTAATGTTTTTAATTTCCCGCTGTCAAATCAGAAGTGCCCATTGCGTGCAGACGATTCGTTATTCACTTAGCTTCCTAAAATGACATAATCGCTGCAGCAGAAACGATGAATGTGAGCAGGGACATGACTGTGAGCAGTGTCCACTCAATAGCAAATCAATACAATTAAAGTTTTTGCCTGGATTGGCTTTTACGTATTTCTCTAATTTAATAGTGGCTATTTAAGTGCCACATGAAGATGAGTTGTGTTCGGGAACCAGCTCAGTGCCTTTTCGTTCAAATGCATACAAATGTACAGCAACTGTTTAGATACACCCTGTGAAATACAGCTGCAATTTTTTTTAGAGAAAAAAATCCAAAAAAATCTGCAGCCCTAATTTTGTTACTCCCAACCGAAGCAAAATGATGATATATTTTTAACAGTTAACAAGAAATGCAGAACTTCTTAATCTAGAGCATTTCAAAAAGGACACGTGCCAGGTTATACATGTGGTGATGTTGCCTACTGGACATGTTACGTTGGGCGACTCATTGTGTTTAAAGAAACATTCTTAATTGAACCAAATGCTGGAAGTGAATCGGTTGGGGCTGTAGAGTGATTACAGCTGGGCTTAAACGAGTTTCATAATTACGTCCTTAATGAAGAACTCTGAGAACTTGAGGGCAGGGGGGGTAGAGGCGAGGAGGACTGAGATGAAACTGAAAGAATATTAATTAAAGAGTGAATACGGTAATTAATCTTTTGAATAATGCATAACCTGAAGGTCACAGATTCCAAATCCTAGTGAGGAAAACATCAAATGACTTCAGAACTGTATCAGTGAGTAATAATACAGGTACGTTATGTTCGTTACAAAAGTCAGCATTTATAAGACCGGTCAGAATTACATAAATAAACATAATTATTTTGCTAAATTTAGCTAGTCACAGAAGCAGTCACATTTAAATGTACCACAAGGTTCGCCTTATGCTACATTTAAAAGTGATGATGATGACCTCTTTCTGACTCTGCCTATGATGATCTCATAAGTAGATACAGAAAGTGAAAGATGAACTAAATCTTAGGTTAATTAGATGATTAGGTTAATAAGAGTTTGTGAAAGGAATGTTTTATTATGCATAGATTGGGCAGTGTGTAGAAATATCATATAAACTGACTGAAAATACAGATGAGTTTGATCTGATGCTATTAAAGCAGTATTTTGATTGCTTTTAATGTTAGAGTTTCATCATCATGCATGTTAACGTTTGGCCTGATTAAAATAGTTAAAAGCACCCACACATGTGAGAAAACCTCTGCCACCCTCTAACCCACCCACCTGCATGCACTTTAGACATACGTGTGTGTAAGTTTAAGAGCCCCCTTACACTTGCTTGCTTTAGACTGATGAATGACTCCAGCTCTATCTTTCTCTCTCCATTTTGAGAAATTAGATTCCACTGAATAGCACTGTCCACAAACCCAAAACCCACTTTAAATTCAAACTAGCCTTCCTCACAGCTGCTGGTTTTTTTTGGTAGCTTGGCTGTTGGTCACATTGCCGTTACGAGACTCAAAATGCATGTTTATATTTCAGTATGTGTTTGTGCGAATGAGTAAGAATGAATGTGAATGTGTGTGTTTGAGAGAAGTATTGGCATGATGGCAGACTAATTATTTTTTTTGTGTTTTCTGGGCTGTCAGTCTGAAAGCCAGCTCAACCTCCTCTTATTTGGTTAACAGGAAGCTCCATATGTAATGTACAAGAGGAATTATATGCAGATGGATGGAAATGATCGCTATGAGGGCTACTGTGTAGACTTGGCATCAGAAATCGCGAAGCACGTCGGCATTAGGTACAAACTGTCCATTGTAGCTGATGGGAAATATGGAGCACGCGACCCTGAGACCAAGACCTGGAACGGCATGGTGGGGGAGTTGGTATATGGGGTGAGTGCTGGGAAAACTATCCTGCAATGGGAAGGCTTTGGTGGTGGGGTAGTGGCTGTGTGAAGGCAGCAACACTTAGGAGGCCTCATATATAATCACTGACCGCTCTGTCAAAATAAAAAATAAATTTCTTCTGTACAGGTTTTAAAATCTTTTCATACAGCTGAGCTGTTTGCTTTTGGAGTTGGGTGCTTGTCAGAGTTGTTTTCAACATTTATTTCCTGTGTCACATGATTTATTTTGACATTGTAATGTGATTTTTACATTATTTACAGTCTCCAGGTGTTGCTGACATCACCCAAGTCTTTGGTCATGGTCAGTGTTTTTACACAATAAAGCTCCAAAGTAGTGTCTCTCTGCATGTCATTGAGGCACCATGAGTAAATCCATTTAAAACACATTTATTTAAAAAAAAAAAAAAAACAGTTAAACAACACAATGTAATCTCTAAGAATGAGAAGAGTGTGTGTCTCTATGCTTTTTGTTTGTTTGTTTCTGTGTGATATTCAACATATCCTGACTATGTGAGATGCATATCATTTAATAATCTCAAGTGAAGAGTGTTTAACTGGATTTTCAGTCTTTTTTTTTTTAACTAAAAAGATTCTATAGACATCGTCATCATCATATCGGCCATTTTCATGTATATATTGACAAATATTGGATATTTTTGAGCAGATATATAATATTATATTTAATTTAATACAAATTTATATTGTCAGGCATAATTTTTTGTCCATGTCATGAAAATAATTGGCTTCTCTGTGTTGGCCAGAATTGAGCTCATCTTTAAACATAGTGTTATTATGAATTTCTATTTAGTTCTATTGTTGAATTTTAAATTGGGTTCTGAGTTGCATTCATTAGCAGATGGAGACAAGAAGGCATAATGGGACAGAAGTACATGGTAACATTCTGCTACATACAGTTACAACATATGGTTAAATGTAAAGAGTGAACCAAAGGTTCTCCATTTCTTGCTTTTATGAACCTTGTAAAAATGTTGTTGATAGTGAAACAACTGGTTCACTCCTCCATTCTGCATTTTTATTGTTATTAGACTTTGAAAATGTTAAACTATCTAATCACATTTCCATGATCGCACCATGACATTGTTTTTCTCATACTGTGAACTGAGAGTTACTGTGTTCCATGTTTCCAGAGGGCAGATATAGCTGTGGCTCCTCTCACTATAACCCTTGTCCGGGAGGAGGTGATAGATTTCTCCAAGCCCTTCATGAGTCTGGGCATTTCCATCATGATCAAGAAACCACAGAAGTCCAAACCGGGAGTCTTCTCCTTCCTAGACCCATTGGCTTATGAGATCTGGATGTGTATCGTGTTTGCATATATCGGTGTGAGCGTGGTTCTCTTCCTGGTGAGTCGTTTCAGTCCATACGAATGGCACCTGGACGAGAATGAAGAGGCGAAGGATCCGCAGACGCCACCTGACCCGCCCAACGACTTTGGCATCTTTAACAGTCTCTGGTTCTCTCTTGGAGCTTTCATGCAGCAAGGATGCGATATCTCGCCAAGGTTGGTGTATTATTTAGCCCGTTCTTGTCTCTCCATCCGCATCTTTCTCTCTCCCCTCATCTTTGCATTTTATGGTCGTCTCGTCTATCATGGTGCATATATGTTATTTTACTTGGGGTGTTTCACTTGTCAATAAGCTAAAGCTTATCACTTCTTAACCCTTTATTCATTCTATCATCGTGTCACTTCATTCATTCACTCACTCAAACACTCATCAGTCACAATATTGTCACTACAACTGTTCCTGTCTTTCTCCACTTTTCCTCTTTTGAAATACAGCTTGAGTTAAATCAGTGGTTCTCTCTTTTTTTCACTACTCTTTGGAACTAAAGAAACGTTCGCTCCACATTCAGCCAATAATATGATCATCAATCAGTATTGCTGCCAAGTTTTGGCACTTATAATGGCATGATCATTTAACAGATGCTTTTGTACAAAGCAACTTAAAAATGAGGAAAAACAACAAACAACTTAATGCACATCAACCAATGTCATATTTGCAGTTATATTATAAAGTTTTTATTCAAACGCCTGCTGTTAAATAATAAAATATTAAATTCTTGAAGAAAACACTATAAAAATTGCATGTTTTGGATAATGATCCAGCATGTTTCGCATGACCTACATATGACCATTGTTCCTTCTGAAATTGTGTGTAAATCATATAATGATGACGTGTGAAATAAATCGACAGCAAGGATGTTTGCTGAATTATGAAAAGTTTGTCTTTACTGAAAAAAGTTAATTAAACAGGAAATGTATTTTATGATATTCAAAAATATATTAAAAAATAAACAACTGGTTTAAAATTCAGTTATTTACTCATTTTCCTGTTGTAAGTAAACAAGATTTGAGAACTGCCTTGAGCTTAGAGAACCATTGCTTTAAGTGATGCTTGACACCAACTAAAATAATTTATATTCACCATGTGTTGACTGTAAAATGTACAGATTTTCTCTTTCACTCTCTTTCTCTCTTTCTTGGAGGGCTACCGTGTTTTTGCTGCATGTCTCTATTTTACTGTCAGCAGTTTGGTGTTTATAAACTGTTTCAGTGGAGGATTGTCAGCCCTCTTCACTCATTCCATCGTTCTTCAATTCAGTCATTTGATTTTCCTGTCCATCTTACTCACCAAATTCCTCTTGGATTTGTCTTTCATTCTTGAGGTGATCTTTGTGACCCTGTTCTCATCCTCATCTTTCTTCCGGCCCTTTATTAGAGAGACCTGCCCAAACAGAAGATTCAATTGTACTTTGAGTGATTTTTTTTTTGTCCGTAGTTTGAAGACTTTTGCTTCATTTATCAGCTGTAATAGCTTTAATATGTTTGTAATAATTGTTAACCTTTCACAGGGGATTTGTTTGCTCTCCTATTGTCTCTCTGTCTCTCTCCCTCACTCCCTCTCTCTCTCAGGTCTCTGTCTGGCCGTATTGTTGGAGGTGTGTGGTGGTTCTTCACTCTGATCATCATTTCATCCTACACTGCCAATCTGGCTGCTTTCCTGACTGTGGAAAGGATGGTCTCGCCTATAGAGGGCGCAGAAGACCTGGCCAAGCAGACTGAGATCGCCTACGGAACGCTCGACTCCGGTTCCACTAAAGAGTTCTTTAGGGTAAGACAGCAATAGAAATGTTCAAATGCAATATGGTTATCGGTGATGGTAAAAATAGTGTTCTGTGCCATTGTTTCCCAACCATATCTTGACCTTATTTACATCTACACTACTGTTCAAAAGTTTGGGATTTTTTTAAAGGGGTGGTTGACTGCTTTTTTTCTTTGCATGATTGTGTTTATGGGGTGCAATATAACATGTATTCATGTTTTTTCTTTTTTTTTTAAGTCTTATTTTTCATAAATTTCACTTTTATTGTAAGCCGCTTTCTCCTTTGTCATTTGAACGACCGGTTGACTTCCTGAGTCTATGGAACCACTCCCTCAGAAACAGGCAGTGGGCTTAGATTGGTTAGTTTGGGCCGGTGTGTTGTGATTGGCTAGACTGTAGTGCACGTTGTCTGGAAAATTCACGCCCATTACCTTTACGGGCAAAAGTTGAATGTGTTGTTCATGTCAAATATAAATAATGGTGTCGATACTGCAGTATCAGTATGAACCAGAATCAGACCCAGAAAGTGGCGATGAAGAGAGTCCCCCCCACACACGGCTCTTACAAAACGTTTCTGAATGGTAATTTGCCTATAACTTTATACACGTTTGTCTTACACAAAATAGCATCGAACTAACTGCCTACTATATACACAAACAGCGTTGGCATAATTGGTTTACGCTCTTGATCAAATCAAAAAATTACGTTATAAAGTATATATACATGAAAAATATATTTACAAAATTAGTACATATACAAATTCAGGTCCAAAATGTTTTTACGCGTTTGTTGTAGAGACGAAATAGCATAACTAATTGGCTATAAAGCCAGTGCTGGCATTTTATAAAACTAAAATATTATGTCTGGAATTATACATGCAAATACATTTAAAATGATTAAGTCTTACTTACAGGTTGTGGCCCAACAACTGCTGCCTCTGGTTTTAAAGTTGGAACAGCTTCATGTTTTAATAACAGTTTCTTGTTGAATCCGGCGTTGAATTCGTTGGAGATTCTGGAAGCTGTCTTCCGTAAAATGCGCAGCATAGAGAGCTAAATTACGATTATAATTTTCAGGAACATAATCAAAAATAAATTGTATCTATTGTTGACGAACTACAACGTCAGTGGGAAGCCCTAACACGGAAGACCTGAAACATTTTTGAAAGAAGTCTCTTGTGCTCCCTAAGGCTGCATTTAGTCGATCAAAAATAATTTAGTTTATCAAAAAAAAATTTAGTTGATCAAAAATAATCCCTGGGACTCATGAGTGGATGGTTGCCATGCACAGCGTTGACAAAGGGTTAACCTTCCTGTTACTATTGTAAATTGTTTATAAAAATGATGTGTGTGTGTGTAAATAAATTCTATTCAGTTCAATTCAGTTTATCCAAAAAAAATTTGCGAAGTTGCGAAAGCTAAGACTAACGGTAAATCTAGGCTTGGAGTATAGACCAGGCATAGACAGTAAAAGATTGGAGTCCCTTTTATGACGTCACGCACAGCCTTGTGGAAGGGAGGGGACGTGCTTAAAACCACTAAAACGTACCAACTTTTGATATTATATGCAGCATTTTGGTATAAAACTAACATACAAACCAATTATGGGCGGTTCTTATCTTTATGTTTAGCAAGCACATTGCATTATCTTTGTGAAAAATTTAACCTTCAATTTACTGTACACCCAACAATCAGAAACAGAAACATGTTGGACAGGCCCGAAAGACTGTTCTCAGTTCAGTGTACTGTTGGACTAAGCGGAGCGGTGAATGAGTTGGCAAAAACCGGCATCATATGATCATATACTGACTGTCAGGCAATCAGTAAATGAGTGATTTTGATTGATTTACTTCGCTGACTTGAGTGGCCACAAAGCGTTTCAGACCGTTCAGTCCGATTTGGTTCACAAAAAATAAAAAAATAAAAATAAAAAATCTGGGGAAAAAAAACTATTAGTTAGCGAACTGGACATCACAAAAGAAGCATGTCTACACTGGATTGGTCTACATAATTGTGTGCATTTACCTGCAAGAAATTCTGACAATAAAATATGATGACAGACTACTGGCAATCTGACAAAGACATGTCACCACAGACATGCGACCATCTTTGACTGAAAACATGTTTTACTGAATCTTTACCATATACCGTTTTCAAGTGAGGTTGCCACGGGGGTAGAGTGTGTGTTTGTGTGTGTTTTGAGATGACAGGGAACAGGGCAGTTTTAAGATGACCCAGATACAACACTGCTGATGAGCTCATCCTGTCATTTCACCTTAATGTCATGATTACTCGCTAATGCTTGTGTGTGAAAGCAGATATACATGTGCACACACTCATGCAAGCACTTATTCAGTCACTCACAGTCACTGTCACGTCACACACCCCCTATAGAGTGATTGGAGTCAGAGTTTTAGAGAGAGAACACATGAAATGAGATGCCCTTCTGCTCTTCTCTCTTTCATGAGTTGTCATCTGCAAACACACTGGATCAGAGCAGAGATGACAGGAGAGCAGCTGACACTAAGTTGGACTGAATGTGATGTGGAGACAGTCTCCACCTTGTGTTCATAACTTAGTATTTCAGAAATAAATTAAAAAAAAAAACATTATGGCAATAGAAGTGAATTCTCTTTCCTGTCTGTACTAGCAAGTAATGAAGACAATTCAACTTATTAGATGGCGATGCTGTTTTGAGTTTAGGTTTTCATGTAGAAAAATGTGCGTTGTAGCAGCCAAATGGACCCCACAAGTGATCTTCCTCATGTCATTTCAAAATTGATGACTTTATTTTTTCCATTGATTATAAAATTTGAATTTGTTAAGCAATTTGTTATGCAAAAACACAACAAAATTATCGTAAAGAGGCCCGTATGACTATTTTATTTAGCAAGGATACATTTCTAATTTCCCTTCTTACCTCCTTAACAATCATGGGATAGATTGCTTGACTTTAAGCCACAACAAAGAGGGATTGTCTCAGAAATGTATAACTGTATTCTGTATCTTTGTAACTACTCAAACTCAAAAACAAAAACTGCTTGCGAGGAGGAACTGGGACAACAATTCAGTGAGGAGTGGTGGCAAGAGGTCATTGATAGACTAAGTACTGTGTCATCTTGTGCACGTCTTGTACGGATTCATTTCAAGGTTGTACACCGAGTCCATTTCTCCAAAGCAAGATTATCTGCAATTTTCCCTGGAGTAGAGGATAAGTGTGAAAGATGTCTTAACCCACGTTGTCATTTTCTCATTACTGTTATCTTTATCGGCTCAAAAAGAAAATTTGGCCGATATGTTAAAGCTGATAAATAATGTATTATTTCCTTCAGCTGAGACACTTCTGATGCGCTCTGTTCACCATGATGCTTTTGAATTTGCTGAAATAGGATTGGAATCCCTTCAAAAAGGAAAATACAGTTAAGTGCAACACGCACAGCGGAAAATCTGTCAAAGGCTACATAAAATTATGAGAACATCGTAATTTTGTGCTTGGGACATGGCTTAAAATTGTGAGACTTTTGTTTTTGTAATCAGGCTCTCAAAATATTATACAAATTTGGATTTAGATTTATCGGCCAGTATATCGGCCATCGGCTTTCAAAAGAATTATCGTATCGGCCAAGACTTGACTTGATAAAAAAATCATGTGTCAGTTTCCACACAAAAATATTAAGCATCACAACATTGACAATTGATAAATAAGAACATTGAAATTAATAAGAAATGTTTCTTGATCGTGAAATCAGCATATTGGAATGATATCTGAAGGATCATGTGACACTAAAGAGTAATGTTGCTGAAGATTCACCTTTGCCAACAATTAAATTTCAAAATATATTACAGAAAACAGTTATTTAAATATTATTTAAATATTTTTTACTGTATTTTTTATCAAATAAGGGAAGACTTACATAAAAAATGGTACCGAATTGATTACTTGTAAAGTAATTATAGTAATTGCATGTAGTTAGCTCTCAATACATCATTTAAAGAAGCATTTTTGGGAATAATCACTCATCTAATAGTGTAAATTGGAACTAGACCCAGACCGATATATTGGCAGACCGATATTATCGGCCGATATTAGGCATTTTCCAAACTATCGGTATCGGCAGTTATAATGGCCGGTAAATGAATATTTCTAAAATAAAATAAAACCGACGAAACACGCTTGAACCATGTCATGAGTGTTGGAGTTGTATAATTTGTCCACCAGAGGGCACTCTACACCATTCCTGTTGCCAACACTCGTTGAGTTGGTCACGATACATACATTGCTTGAATAACAATTAAAAGAACATCCCATCAGTTCTCTTAACTCAAATAAGCATGACAAAATGTGTAACTATCATGTCCAGTTTAAAAAAAATAAATAAATAAATAAAATATCGGCCGATTTATCGGAATATCGGATTTTAAAACCCAAAAATATTTGTATAGGTATCAGCCTTCAAAATCCTTTATCGGTCGGGCTCTAATTGGAACTATATGTTTATCATGTCAGAGGTCTGAAAAGAGTAATTATTTTTGCATTTGTTATGTGTCAACAGTGGCACAGAAATAGCACACTTCCCCCTTTAAAATCTACAGTTCGTGCCTGAAAAAGCAAGAAAAACACATGCACTCATACACCAGCTGTGTGTAGGTCAAGTTAACCTACTTGCACGTACGATACTTGTGAGTGTATGTGTGTAAAACTGTGTCCTATAAAAGCAGGAGTGTGTGTATTTGTCCTAATAAATTTATGTGTTTACCCCAGAGATATCCTGTCCGCTACAGGGCCATTTATATCTAGTCTCACAAGAGATGGCCGCTGAATATTTTGGTTTATGAAACTTAAGTTTTGATTTAAATCATATGCAGAAGTACAGATTAATTACAAGTATAAGTACAACCATGATTGATCTGTTCTTTCATTCATTCATTCTTGCATTCTGAGTGTGAGGACGTTGTATTGGAGAATGGTGTGTTGAAAAGCTGAGTTTTTTTTTTTTCTTAATATAGTCATGTACTGTACTTTAACTCCAGATGGGGCTTATTTGTAATGTCACTGAAAGGAAAAGCCTTGGACAGGCAAGCATGGCAGATGTTTCTTCCTCGAGAGATCGTGAGGAAACTTTGCATTGATTAATTTCGGTGATTATAAGAGCTCTTAATTTTCTGTCTTTTCTTGTATGATTTTATATTCTGCTCTTGCTTGTCAGCTTTAGTCTCATTATTGAAGCTCCAAGATCAAAAGTCCCTGAAGGATCTTGTACAAAAGACTCATTGAGAGGAGAGTTTAAGGTCTGGGGTGGGATGTACAGTACATGTTGTAAGACACCTGAAACACATTCACATATGCATTTATACATCAGAAGTTTAAATCAATGTTTCTTGATGTTTTTTGGTTTTAAATCTATTGAACATTTAAATGGCAGACCATAGCATATGGCAGGGTGCTGCATGTGTACTGATGAAAAGCTAGAAATGCCACAAGAATGAGCAATTTTCTAATAATATTGTGGAGATTTATCAGTGGTGGCTTGTGATGGACCCAGTCCCAATCCATCCCTTGCTGAGAAGACATTTTAGCCTGTAAAATGTCATAAAACCCATTTATATATCTCCCTGAACCTTTTATCTTTCCTAACTTTTTCCATTAATTTCCTTTCTTTTTTCTCTTTCAGCGTTCAAAGATCGCCGTCTACGAGAAGATGTGGTCCTACATGAAGTCCGCCGAGCCTTCCGTGTTCGTTAAGACCACCCCCGACGGAGTGGCTCGCGTGCGCAAGTCAAAGGGGAAGTTTGCGTTCCTGCTCGAGTCCACGATGAACGAATACATCGAGCAGAGAAAGCCTTGCGACACTATGAAGGTGGGAGGGAACCTGGACTCCAAGGGCTACGGTGTGGCCACGCCCAAAGGGTCGGCATTAAGGTGGGTGGAATAATATAACAATTCCCTCTGTTGTTATAGTATTCCACCTACCCTGATTCCACCATCTCTCTCTTCTCTCTGTCTTCATGTTTTGTTTTTCATTCTTATTCTCTCATCCTTCTACCTTTTCTCAATCTCTCTCCCTCCAACTCTTTTTCATTCTTTTTTGTTCATCACTCTACTTGTCTCTCTTTTTCTTGCGGTAAATGACAAGGTAACCGTGTCTTGTGTGTCAAAAAAAGTTTTTTTTTTTTTTTTTTTGTGTTAATGTTTTACCGTGTTTCTCTCTACAGAAATGTAATTGAACTTGTTAATTTACAGTCCATTTTTACAGTGTGATGCCTGTTGCTGTTGATTTCCTACACCCTTTTCTCCTGTCCTCCTCCTCCTTTTTAATCTTCTCTGTCCTTCGCTTTGTGCTGTGATTGCATTTCTGTAATATTTGTGTGGTTGGATTGTTTTTTTTTTCTTCTCTGCACTGGCGCTGTTCTGCCTGCTTCCATGCATGTCACGCCATAAACTGTTTCTTGTCCTGGCAACGGACTGTCCTTGCATCCTTCCCATCGCTCACTAGCACTCGCCCTCTTTTTCTTTCTCTCACTTCTTTCTGTTTTTCTCTCTCTCTCCACTCGGCACTACACACACCTCACTTGCATACACGCTTCTGTCTGTACCCAGTAGCCGACGCAATTAACCAATCAAGCGGTCCAACCACTTCACCAGTTAACCGGTCTCTCCTTTGTATTGACCCCTAACAAAAGAGCAACTGCCAGTTGCGGCAGTCTCATTAGATTTCTCACGAACCTGTCCCTTTTCTTACGAGCTATGTGTTTATCGTTTGAAGAAGCGCTGTAAACCTGGCGGTGTTAAAGCTGAATGAGCAGGGCCTGCTGGACAAGCTGAAAAATAAATGGTGGTACGACAAGGGAGAGTGCGGCAGCGGGGGAGGGGACTCGAAGGTCAGCCTCAATCTCACCCAAACAACCCTTTCCTAGCTACGAGTAATCGGCAAGGCTGTGACCTATGACCTCCGGCAACAGTACCGTGACCCTCAGGGGTGGACACTGGCAAACTGAGCCTAATGACCCGAGGACATTAGCACCACTGCGACGGCTGCAGTTACTGTCAACGCTGCTAATGTAGTGTTTTTTGAAGATTACGAAATAAGGCAAACTGTGATCAGATGTGACCCTTTACTTGGCTAATGGAGGAAAGGAAGCAGAGGAGGAGAGGAATAAAGGCTCGGGTGGGTTTTATGTGTAGAGCGAGGTCAGGGTCACCGAGAGCGCAGCAAATTAGGATAGTTAAGTTCTTGCGAACCTGCTTCGCGGGTTTGTTTGTGTGGTAAAACAAGCAGCTTGTTCCAAGTAGAATAGGCTAGGCCCTCTCTGACTCTCCTCTGATCTGTAACATCAGACCATCACAAAATGTAGTGTTGTTTGTGTATACCAAGGCTCCAGGATTTAATGGCTATCCACAGAAAGAAAAAAATAGTGATGAATAGGGATCTAATAGACCAAAACTGCTCTGGAAAATGGGTAGCACATAGAATTGGATGAGCCTATATGATGTTTATTATTATATTTAAGGGATAGTTCACCCTCAAAGTAAAAATCTGTCATCATTTACTGTACTAGTGTGTTCCAAACATGTGACTTACTTTCTTATTTGGAACATAAAAGGTGTTTGTTTTGTGTTCTGCAGAAGAAAGTAAGTCATACAGGTTTGGAATGACATGAAGTGGAGTAAAGTAATGACAGAGTTTTTATTTCTAGGTAAATGATCCCTAGTTTCGGAGCTGTAGTTTAGCTTAGTTATGAATACGTGTTTAGGTTGCAGTTTACCTTTTAAAAATGGGGAAATGCCCTAGGTAAAGTGGCATTTTGGACAATATCAAATTTTTTGGTGTAAATGCATTCAAGTGCCTTGCAGTTATCATTGAAGACCAGCAATAATGCATTTTTTTTCTTAATTAAATATTAATGGCAGTATATATGCATGCCACAGTCAGCTGTGATGCCTAATTACTCGAGCTTCTTTTTTGCAGATTATTGGGTCAGCTTTGCCTTCATAGCTTTACCAATTTATTGAAGTATTTACAGTGATATTTTCCAAATCACTATGCCTATGGTGTTTCCAAACATCTGGAGGGCACTACAGTATATGTCGAGTGTCTGTCTGTTAGTAGCAAATTTCTGGTAGTGGCAAAAGAGAAGTGCAAAGACTATATTGGTATCTTCACATCTCCAATCAAATAGTCAGATGCCTCTTTTTTTTTTTCTTTAAAGATGCCATCTTTGGTCTTTGGCCAACTCCCTGCTACAAGTATGCGAATCCTTTTGGAGCCGCTAGCTCTCTCAGATTTGCGTGTAATCCATGGAAAAGCCGTAGCTCCCTTGTTGGTGGGATTAAAGAAAATATATAAGACCACTGGGACAAAACATCACAGGAAAACGTGAGAATTCTAATTAAACACTCCTAGAAATCAAAGGTGGAGAAAGATCTGGTGCCGTATTATAGACTCACTAAACGCACATTTTCATCTGCATACGAATGCACAGAAAACCACAAACAAGCACATTATACTCACACACGCACACTTCTAAATTAATTTATGGCCACTTTTCTTTAGCCCCTTTGCCTGCAGAATGGTCACCCTGTGTTCAGCCTATCATGAGGGCAAGGCAGCCCCACTCTGTCCTGATTGGTCTTCAAAAGCGGGTTCACTGCAGTAATAGTCTCTCCTCTCTCATGAGTGGAGTCTGTGCTCTAAAAACTGAGAAGATGGCCGCCTAGTCCGTGCATTGATAAGTTGAGCATGCTGGGTGGAGGGTGTCTAGTCTGTTATGACATCACAACTGCATGTTTCTCATTTATTGACCTGAGTCTGATCCAAAATGCATGAATGGAGTAATTCAGCAAATCTAGCAAGTATATTATACTATTATTAGGACACATAGCAAAATTAAAAACAGCTGATTCACTGCAAATATAGAGAAAACATTAAGCTTTATAGAGCAAACACACATTACAGTACAGAAACAGTGGTGAAAATCCACCCCAATACAGTAGAATGTATTCATGAATGGATTTCTGAAAAACCCTTTTTTTTTAAGCAGTTGGCGATTTGACACGCTTCAAATGAAGAACTATAAAAGAGTTCTTTGAAGCTCGTGTGCTCTCAAACCTGTGTATGCTGTAAACAGGATTCAACCGAGGTCACTTCATTCTGACGAGGGCACCCTGTTGAAGTACAGTAGGAAAAATATTTAGTAATTTATTTAAAACTTGGAATACAATTGGAGAAACCATATTTGTACAGTGCTGTTGCATTGAATATAAGGGTGGATTTCCAATTATAATATATGTAAACATATAGTAAGTACGAGTTGAATGTACATTAGGTCCATCTCTCCATAAACAGATCTCATTCTTTCAAGGTTTTATTCGTCGGGTGTCAAACCATTCGAGGTCCGAAGCTGGCTTGTGTGACGGTGGTAAGTATGGTATATTTGCTTTGCTGGATTACAACTCTCATCATTTAGCAGAAGGAAAATAAACTGAGTTTCCCAGCAGTCCTGCTGATGACATACTAACATCTTACAAACGGAAATGTCCAGGAAGAACAGTAACATCTTCGTTTCCATTATTTTGCCATAGGATGCGTTATGCAAATATCTCCGAAGGCCCCGTGAATGTTAATATTCTGTTTATTATTTATGTGCTGACTTTCGTAAAGGCTCGGCGTTTTCGTTTGTAAGATGTTTGGCTTCAGCCCTCACCCACCACAGACCGGTTCCCCTTCTGACTGCTGGGTCCTGTTTATCTGTTAGTCAAGTAAGGGTTTTTTCTCCCGATGGATCCGGCTTGCTGAATACTGGGTTAGAAAAGCTGCATTCACACCACAATTACAATAACCAAACTCATCTGCCCAATGCTCTTTGTAATTATGCTCTGTTTGGCTGTGTTACCATGGTTACTCTCTCTGCCTCTGTTGGAACAGTGAGTGCCGATTACTCAAAGCGATAACAGTAGGTAGCACTGCCAGGTCAAAGGTCGAAGGTAACACTGAGGCTAGCCCTGCCTGCATTCCCTCTCTCTCTCTCCATCTCTCCCTCTCTTATTCTTTCGCTGTCTACGATATCAACAGCACAAGGCCAGGTGTCCTACAATATCGCTTTGGTTAACAGATATTCGGTAGGTTTAAGTTTTAATAACATAAAATAACATAATGGTGCCATGTTATTTATGTTATTTCCCCTCGTGAAGAACTCCTGTAAACCTTGCAGTGTTGAAACTCAGTGAACAAGGCATCTTAGACAAGCTGAAAAACAAGTGGTGGTACGATAAGGGTGAATGTGGGACCAAAGACTCTGGGAGTAAGGTTAGTCTGCTCACTCATTTGCCAACAAACATATTCATATTCTACAGTCATCATAACAAGCCTTACTAGTTTTAATGGATTTAGTGTGGATTTGGCTCCAGCTGGATTCACTTCATTTTGGCCCCTTCTTTTGAAAGCCTCTTTACAAATGTAGCAAATATCAAAACCTTTAGCGTTAATGAGACAACACAACAGTTCCAACACACACACACACACGCACAAAAGGAGAAATGGCATATTAAGGAAGCTGTTTGAGATTCATTATCTTAATGATGTAGTAATTAAGTGTTACATAAAAGTATTTTGTAGTAAGCATTCATAACAGTGATTTAGCAATTAAGTATTTCATTCAATTTTTCCTCTTCTGCTGCTGTGACATGGCCTCATTCGCAATATCAGTGTTTTCTGTTAACTAATTAGTTTATAAATTGTCTCCAGGCAACATTCATATATACTGTATTAATCATCAGAATGAAAACTTAAAAGAAGCACGGTCACTCTGAAAGTATTTCTAATCATATGACTGAATGCCATATGGCCTGTGCCGACCAATACATTCTGTTCAAGTGAACGTACATTTTATTTCCAGCCCTGATTGAGTTTATGGAACTGCACATGGACCCCTGCATTAGCCAGTGGCGTCGGTTTAATAAAGACCACGTGCAGAAAAGCGTGTTTGCCTGGAGACTCTAGTTGCAATTCTTTTATCCCAATTCTCAATGTAATCCAGTCTGATAAGAAAGTTAATTAACTCTGAAAACATGTCCCATGTGCATAAGCACGGCAGATCCGTTACGAGGCTATACCACTGACTATATGGGCCTGTAACCATGGTAACCGTATTGGGGGGAAAACAGGTCTCTGGCTTTGCATTCAAGACCGTAATGCTACACTCCCAGTCCTCGGTTGCTATGGTGCCCTTTCACTGGCTTCTAGTGAAGACAGACCATGTTTGTGTGTGTGTGTCAGAGAGTGTTTCGTAGACAGCCAGGCCGGTGGTCACAGCAGCAGAACCGAGTCCAGTTGAGGCTTGTCTGTGTTTTGAGGTGTGGCGATGGTCGCATGCAGGTGTCTGTTAATGAGTTTTGAAGGCTGTGAAGCTTGCAGAAGTAGTTCAGAGAGGGGAATTGCCATAGTAACATCAATATTCTTCCCCCCTCCTTCTCCTCTTCCTTACTTCCTCTGTTAAGATGGCAGACCGAAGAAGCCAGAGGATCCGACTGTAGCTCTCTGGTGGCAGCTTATTTGTCGTGTTTCTGTACTGACTCAACTTCACCTCTAGAGGGGGCAACAGGCTCAGAGCTGGCTCTTCGTGTGTGTGTGTGTGTGTGTGTGTATATGTGTGTGTGTGCTCGCATTCTGTTTGAGGGCAGTGTTTCACTGTCTCTCTGGCCAGTAGAGTGAAGGTATGAGAGGACAGAGGGAATTACTTCTTCCTCTCTTGAGCTGCCTGAGCTTTTAATCAATTAACCTTTGACCTCTGGGCACACCTCATAATGATTTGATGCCCTTTTGAATACAGCCCTCAAGTACCCTTTTTTATTTAGTTCATCTTCTTTCCCTCCAAGCAAGTTGCGTATGGTATGTGTGTAACAGGGCTTGCACGGCTACTCTTTTTTACTAGGCGAAAAGTAGTCTGCGAATCACTGTTTACCTTGTTTATATAACTCAACATCAGCAGTCTTTGCTGTTTCCGGCAAGTCTAATTCTGCATTGATGGAGGGGTTGCGAGTGCAGAGAAAGGTGAGAAATTGCCATTTACAGATTACATTTTTTTTAAACTTGGAAACGAACCATCTCAGATTGTCACAGCACTTGTGTAACTTTCGCATATTACGTGCTTTGTGAAAGTAAACCGCTTTATGTTGATTTGAATAAATTCCGGATTATTTGAGCATATACTCTTAAGGGAGGGCCCAAAAAAACATCGAATTTTTGCAGCAAGACATAGAAGAACCATTTTCAGAACCATTCAGTGAAAAATTATAAAACATTTTTTTATATATTAGTGTGAATAACATTTTATTTCATTTTTTAAAAAGTTTATCATAAGTCAACAGCTCGTACCTGTATGATTTTAAGGTACCCTGTGTAACCTTTGGCCCTCTAGTGGTTACAAAACAAAACTGCGTGCATTTTGCAAAAGAACATTGTTTTGGTTGTGCTTTAGTTCGTGACTGTGCGGATGAATAATGTTATCTTCCTGCTGATAAAACATTCACTACCATGCTTAAGAGATATAACTAGTTTAGATGGAAAAGATCTTAAGATGACTAGCTGAAGATGGTAAAGTTAACACAGTACTTCCTTGAAAATAAATTCCCACACGGTGCTATAACAACTAAAAAGAAATTACCCTTCATAATAGATAATGCTTTACAATGAACTCTGTTAGAGAGCTACATATGGTAATAAAATACCTTACCTTTACCTGCACCTTACCTACCATCTCCTTGTTGCTTTTACAACATTTCAAATCCCTCAGTTCTCGCCATCTTTGAAAGCCAAGCCAATCTTTCTATTTTGAATTATTTTATTTTCTCTGTCACATTCTCTTTTTGAAAGCAGAAGCTCCTGTTTGGCGTTGTTTTTAAACACGATTCCCTGGAGGTTTGAGATTTAGCTGCTCCATGTCAACCTTTCTCGCTTGTTTTGACAACTAACCACTCTCACATGCGTCAAAGTAGCTAGAGCAACTTTCCTCTATTTATGGATATGACAAAACGCGCACAGAATAGAGTAATGCAAGCACGCAATTTTGCGTGAAAAGCATACCATTAGGTCTGAAATATAAACACTTTTAATAGGCTTGAGTTAGGGTAAGACAAAAACACGTTTTGGAAAAATTGATCGTGTATTTAAATTTTGTTCATTTTGAACAAAAAAAGTTACACAGTGCACCTTTAAAAAATTTCCTGATTATTTGAGCATACACACGAAAATGATCCTCCTGCAGATCCAATGTATGTAGAGTTGGCGCAATCAATGACAATGAGTCGACTAGTCGTGCAACCCCTGAGATCGAAAGTGGGGATACGCTGATGTGTGCGAATAAGTGCATGATGGGTTACGAAAGCTTGCATGCGTATGTTTAAGGTCCTTTATTGGTTATTAGTTTGGTGTGCATCCAAGTATACTACTTTTGTACTAACTGTGTCTCCCCCCCACAGGATAAGACCAGCGCGCTGAGTCTCAGTAACGTGGCCGGCGTGTTCTATATCCTGGTGGGGGGTCTGGGTCTGGCTATGACTGTGGCTCTGGTGGAGTTCTGCTATAAGTCGCACCAGGAGACCAAACGACTCAAACTTGCCAAAAATGCCCAGAACTTCAAACCAGCTCCTCCGTCCACTGCACAGAGTTTCACCACATACAGAGAAGGCTATAACGTCTACGGAACAGAGAGCGTCAAAATATAATGGTTCGTCTAAGGATGTTTTATGTGTATGTTTTGAATGTTTGTTGCTAGTGATACCATTTCTTTAAAAAAAAGTATTAATGATGGGAGGTCTACTTCTGATGAGTGATGATATCAGAGTTGGTGTTCAATTCTGAGGTAAGTAAAGTTTCCCACTGTGTTAAAGCTGCTGTTAGCTTTTCGTTTTTAGAAGAGCAGTTGTTCTGAGAAATCACGCTTGTCTCTTCAACTGCCCTTAGGCGCTGTAAACATATTTTTAAAAATCTGAGCATGGCCCAGTCTGCAGAGTTGGACCGCGTCATTTTGTAATGAATTACACCACCGCTCAAAAGTTTGGGGTCGGTCTTCAAGGAGACGTCTTATACTCTAAAGAAGGCAGCAAGACTTTATCTTTATCTTCTCAAAGATGCTGTAAATAATAATAGATATTATTAGAGTTTACAATAGCCGTTTTCTAATTTAGTGTTTAAAATGTAATGCAAAATTTTTTTTGCAAAAATGTCTTCTCTGTCACATCAATCATTCTTTAGAAACCATTCTAATATGCTGATTTGGAGCCCAAGACATTGGATTATCAATATTAAAAACAGTGATACTTAATCTTTCTTGGAAGCTGGGATTTTTCAGGATTCCTTGATGAATAGAAAATTCAAAATAACAGCATTCATTTAAGAAATGGAAATTTTTCACTTTTTTATTATTTTAATCCATCCATTTATTTACTGACCTTGAACTTTTGAATGACAATGTGTATAAAATAAATAGCTACTTAAATTAAAAAGGAACCATATATAAAATAATAAATAAATAAATTTAGATTTATGCCATTTGAAATAGTGGCATTTTGCCAGTAAGAGAATTTGGCCAATCATTTTGAAGATTTATGCTTAACGTGCAGTCACATTGGGAAAATAAATGGCATTTTGCCAGTAAGAGAATTTGGCCAATCATAATCTGGTGGTACTTACAGCAGCTTTAAGTTGGTGCCATAAATCAGAAATCTCTTCAAACTTCCTGCATTTAGTTCAGTGCCATTGGTGTTGGTGAATTGTGTTATTGTCAAAAGAACGTATCTTTCGACAAGTCTCAAATGAGTTTGGCTGCTGTCTTTTCTTATTCTCAGATTGGAAGCCTGTCCCTTGCTGATCATGTCGTATGCGGCATGGGATAGACTCTCCGTCTCTTTGAGGCGACTGTGATTTCCCTTTAGAAAGTGGACACGCACCCAACCAAAACCCATCTCACCAAAACATTTGTCTTCTCGGCTCTGACACAACCTGAACCAATCACGCGACAGACTATCGGATGGACCAAACACCCGCCCACCCTCTCTCAGTGCCTTACTGAACCAGTGGCAAAACAACAAAACATGCAGGCCATCCCACCAAAGTCCTGGAGATGTCCTGGGTGCTGGGTCTCAAACCATAGTTAAAACGTATGCTTATTATGAGAGGGAAAGACGGTGAAGGAGGGAGGGAGAGATAGAGGTTTGATCTCCTGATCAGCGATGACAAGTGTTTAGCGAGCGACAGTCAGCTTGTCTCCATAAAAACTCACACCAAAAGGGTTTCTGCAAACAAACATATTATGCAAACTGTAGTAAATGTTTTTGAAGGATTCTGCTCATTAATTTGTTTCAAAATTTGTGCTGTGATTCTGTCTCCGTCAACTTAAGTTATGAATAATGTAAATAATAATTTCAGATACATTTTGGCATCAGAGAACTAATGTTGTTTTCCTTTCACAACTTACAATTTATTTTGATTTTTATTTCATAGTGCATTTGCTTTAGTGGGAGAGTGAATTCATGCTCTGTGTGTGTGTGTGAGTGAGTGAGAGATCGAGAGAGAGAAAATTACCGTTTCATGTACTCAAAACCCAACAAGGGTGGAAGATGCTGAATTGTTATTGTCAAATTATTCTTAAACATAGGAGATAAATAATGACAACACATTCATATAGCATCTGCAACAACAAAAAAAATCATATTCGTCATTATCATGGATAAGTTCTTTAAGTCAAGTTTAGGAAACAACAGCAAAATGTTCAATAATTTGTATACTTTTGTTTTAAAAAAATACTTTAATAAACTGTGATTGTCACATAGGTATGATATCTGTTAAACCAATTTTAAAAAAGAAAAGAAAACACTTGGATCTTTGATTTTATAAATCCAGATAAAGCCACTCTGTTGAAATTCTTAACATTTGTTTAGATGGTAAAATGCATATTTATTTTGAAGATTTTATATAACTGACTTCTGTATGATTTCTAAGTGAACTTGCATGTACAGTAAGGATGAAAACTGCTTTCCCCTCAGTAAAGCCTCCCTTGACATGCCCCTCTTCCCATATCCTCCATTCCTGGTTAATAATAATAAAAGAATGAATAGAAAATAATGAAATGATCAGATACATCCTGATGAAAACAATAGTCTGTCCCGCTGCATGACTGCATCCCACTTAAACATTTAAGTATATTTTGTAAATAAAGACAGATTTAAGACAAATTTCTGACTAATGAGTGATTTTTGCTAGAGAACCGATGAGTTTGTACTCGTGTATATCTATTATTATCTCAAGCATTATTTTTTGTCATTGATGCTTACATTCTCGTATAATGTAACTCCTCAAAAAACACCTCATTAATTTGATGTCATCTTTTATCAGGGCCAACAGCTTCCCACTGCTGATTGACATGGTCCACTAAACCACAAGAAGACCATGAGATCATGTCAGAAGCTTTGCATTCTAGATTACTGTAAAATGAAGAGATGATCTTATTGATAATAACTCAATTACAAATAAGCCTCATCACGATGGCAAAAGATGCCACCTGCTGAGCAAATAAGCGCCTGCTGCTGTGCATGCAAATGTAGTACATGTTGCACAGCAGCAGCTGACGGTTATACATGTTTATTTGATAAGAGGTTAATGGAAATGTGCTTTACTGAAACTGTTTTTAGAGTTTCATGATCAGTGTTGTTCTGCTTAATTCTTCTGAAGGTTTGGCTAATAAAGGCTGGTGTGGCGGCGTAGCGGCAAAAGTCCTGGGCTGATCATCAGAGGGTTGTTGGTTCGAACTTCGATCCATTGAAACATCATCATTCAGGAAGACTGTATCTGTAAGTGTGAATTATTAGTGGATACATGGGTCAGCTAAACGGCTTTTTTTCTTTTACCTTAGAGGAAATGTGTTTCTAAAAACACACGGACAAATGTAAACGTTAAAAAGACACTATTTTAATTTTCTTATAGAAGGTCTTTTTTATTCCCAATGCAGCAGCTCTGCAAACTGATCTTACGAGTTTTATTGAGATACACCCGCCACACCCCACCAATGCCATTACGCGCTGTCTCATTTCCCCATGACTCAGTGGTGTTTGTTTTAATTTATAAGCTTCGTGTCTGATTTGGATTAGACGAGCTTTTGCTGCCTACATCCCCCTTATTTACTTACTTACTTATTTATTTATTTAATAATTTTGTTTCGCTGCCGGTATGTAAGATTGCTCGTGTCCCTTCGGTTGCCTGGCAACGCGCGTGGCAGTGGGCGCTCCTGACCTTGCGTCCGCGACCGCGCACAGCGCGCGCGCTTAAAATAGACCCGGGGAGATTGACGTTAATTGAAAATAAGAAAAACGCAAGAAGAGCTGAGCGCCGTTCATACGGCTCGACGGGGAAAAAGGGGGCATGTTGGATGGTGGGAACGATGAGATATGAGAATATTAGTGCACGCTCGGATGCGATACCGGCTGAGCGATTCGGCAGGTGAGCCCCACATTTTCTTATTTATATGGCTGATGCACGCCGTCGATTCTCAATATCAGCTAGCGGTGAGAACGAACGATCTCGAGTAATAAGAGCAATTTTCCGATGCTGGTGAATAAAAAAAATATGAGTAGATGAAAAAGGCGTGAATTGGATTGTGTATGAGTGATTGTGGAACGCGTTTTGATTGAACAATGAACGACGGTCTAATGAATGCGCCGCATTGCTTGTGTTTGGGAAATGGCTACGATAAAATAATGTGGGTTTTGTTAAGTAATTTTTTACATTTTCTTTATTTCAATTGATTTGATATGATTTTAACGGCATTTTCATTCGCATCTGCAGCGTGAAAGCTTGCAAGCAGGAGAGAGAGAGAGAGAGAGAGAGAGAGAGAGAGAGACACGAATTGATAGAGAGAGATGAATTGATAGAGAGAGGTAGAGAATTATCATTCGAATAACCTCAAAGCCGTGGTTTGCAGCATCTGGGCTGTGGGGTCTCGTAGTCATAGATTGTCGTAAACACTCGTTGTCAGACTACATAAACTTATTCGCATCTGTTTGAAAACACATCTGCCTGCCAGCACCGTTATTTAGCTGTTCTACAGGCCTGTCTGCGCGAGGGACACACGGGGGTCGAGTTGTTCTCCGCGTGCATGCTCAATACCCGCTGTTATATTAATCACAGGCGGCGCGTGACGCTGCGCGCGTGTGAATTAAAGCGCAATTCGTCACCTGTTGGAAAGGTAACTGCAGCGCACGCGGGAGTGCCAGTCAGGAACCAGTGTCGCGACCGTCCGTGTGAATGAATCCAGGAAGCGAGACCGGTACCGAGTCCAAGTTGTCATAGTGATTTTCCCATCTGCTGACTTGGTTTGCTTAAAGCTTTGCCAGCGGGCGTACTTGTGTGCGTGTTACAAGGGTGGTTGAACCCAGAGCTAAAAAAATATATTTACAGAAGCGCGAGTAGGCTACGTTTGTTTAGGCGTTATGTTTACGTTACAAAACACTGGCATTAGCCGATTCGAGGGAAGGGTCGTTACACCACTGCTCGTTTCACGAGCTACTTGTTATCAGATGTGCAGTGAATACTGAACCTCGCTAGAGTTTTCATAATGAATGCCCCCGCATAGTTTATTATCCGCGCGCCATCCCGCCACTGCACCGTTCAGTCGAAGCTACGGAGGAGGAGGAGGAGGGGGAGGAGGGGGAGGGACAAGACTATTGGTATTCATCTCTCGTATGGTAGTCTCTTTCACCGTCCCCGCCGTGAGTCCGGGGAACACACACATACTCCCCATTCCTAATGAATGCAGAAAAGAAGCAGTTTACCCTATCATTATAACCTGAATAGGCAATAGCACCAGTTTCATGTAAACAGAGCTGAATTCGTCAGTTCAATGAATGCAGACTTTATCATTTCATTTATCGCACAGTTATGTGGGTTAAATATCAAGGACCCCAATTTTGAAACACTTTTACCCTACAGCTGCCTGATTCAGACGCGCGCTGTCCTCCCCTGTCCGCTCGCTATTGGAAAATGGGCACTGGAATAAACGGACTCCCAATATTCTCTCGATGGGCCCCCACGATTCAGATTAACTGACCCACATTACAGGGGTGGATGAACCCAGAGCTAAAAAAATATATATTTACAGAAACGCGAGTAGGCTACGTTTGTTTATTATACCGGTAGCGAATCTCATCAGCACCATGGACAGCGACACGCGTGAAAAACAGTAAAAGATCTATAAAAGAGCCCGTGGGTACACTTATACTTAAGGGCTGGATAGCATATTAAATTCAACATCTTAAAAGGTGGAAATAATAGTTTAGGCTTGTATTTATAAGTCAGCAGAGGTGAAAAATAAATAAATGAATAAATAAATAAAGTAATTTGAGGTAATCAGTTACATTATTTTAAATTGACATAGCCTACTCGAAGATTAGGCTAAGTAAACAAAACTTCAATTTTGATTTTGTATTACACAAACAAGTTCACTATAATTTAAATTTGACTGAGCCAAACCACTCAGTTTGATTGACTAAACATCAACTGCTAGCTAGCAAGTGGTTTTGAAACAAGCATGGAGACTGTCTACACTTAGCCTACAGTATATAGTTAAACATTATACACCAACACAACACACAAAATGACACATAATTCCAACGTGTATTCTCCTTATACAGTCTGATGCAATAATGGGATTTAAAAATCAGTTCTTCAGTTTAATATAATATAGTTAAGTTCAGCTTAGTATAATCAATTACTGAGTTCACATAACTGTATTACATTAAGTACAACAAACTTAAGTTATTAATATTTGATCTGTAATATTTGAGTGAAATTAACTAATTTCATTAAGTGAATTTCTCTGTTCAGTCAGGCATGATGGGAAATTCTCTTGCCATTGTGTAATTCATCAAGTTATAATTGATGGTTTTGATGCCTGAACTTGACCAGCGTATTTCTGAAGGTCTGGTGTACCTTTAATCGAAATACTTTACAGAGTTCAAGGGGTGCTGCATAATGGGAATGACCCAGTTAATTGCACACTGACTAATTGTAATTATTTGATCCTGTAGGTTGCTATTTTAAGGCATAATAATGCTAGTGATGAGTCTGCATCACAGTATTGGTTAGGTTGAGATCAGTTTGTTTCTGTTTATGGGATTTTTTTTAATTTTGTGTTGTGTGCAGTTCTAAAGTTGAATTTACTGGAAAGGCAGTTATATAAAATAGGTCATATAAGCACCTGCTCAACACACCAGTGTTTTACACCACTGTGAACGGAAGTCGTTTCACGTGCCAGGCATGTAGAAATAAAGTATTTTAGATTCTGTACTGGAAGTTGTTTAGGCTATTATTTTGCATTGCTTTGCTCATATAATAGAAATTGTAGAGGGTTATATATAGCCTACATTTGGAATATCTTGATATTCACTTTTATTTCTGTAATGTCTATGCGATCAAAACTGATATAGAATTATTACTTTTGTTTACATCTCAGGCTGTAAATGGATGCAAATCAGTCTTTTTTTTTTACCCAGAAAATGTGTGTCAGATCCTTAGGAAGGCTTACAGATTTGGTATTTGCATGATCTGCAAACAGTGCTTCTGGGGCAGTGAGTTAGGAAATTAGGATTATTGAGTCTGATGTCACATTTTTTTTTTTGTATTCCAAAATGGAACTGCTTAAAGTGTAACTTTGCTGTTTTTCAACCCACTTTGTATTGTTACAATGTCAGTATTAAAGGTAAATTGGCAGTGTTTAGTCATTCTCTGTGTTACCTGGACCGAGAAATTCATGTATCAGCAAATGATTTTTCACAGTTTCCGGGCTAAAATGAAAACGGCCGTTTCTTTGTTTTTCCCCTCTGTTTGGCCTTAAACACTGTATTTGTAGTCATCTAACCTTTGCACTGGATCCTTTTCTGCAAACTGAAAGTAACTCACTCCTGCTAAACTTTTACTCTTTGAATACTTGCACCCAGGATCAATACAAGTCAACACCATTATAACTAAAAGTTTGCTAAGAAGTATTTCCTACTTAACCAAGGCAGTATTTGACTCAAAGGCAGACTGGTGGGAGTGGCCTGATGGCATTGTGCCCAGTGCATTATGGGTGTTGAAGTTTTCCAACCTTTGGTAAAAAGAAAGACAGCAGCCTTTTTTCTCTTTTCTCAGGTTGCACCCATTTCCTTTCTACTCCATAGACAGCCAAGTTTTACTGAAAGCCCATTTTGCCAGGGGTGGGAATAGTAGGGTACCTCACAATACGGTACTTGCCTCACAATACCGATAATATCAGGAGACAGCAATTCTGAGATAATCAATATATTACTAGAAAATCCTATAATGATACATCACTAGCCTATATCTGTACAAATATGCCAACAGAATGCCTGTGAAAATGTTAATTGTGGGTTTTCCAGACTTTGGACTAAAACGTGGCTGAGGCATCTATTATTTTTACTCACGCTGCTGTCTGACATTCCCCTTTATAAACCTCTTTTTAAGTTCATGTTTCCCTCATCCAACTTCTAAATTAGTAGCCCAAGAAAAAATGCACATAAAACGCTCCATGTATCTTCACACATGATATAACACCATTGTTTAATGCAACAAGTCTTCGGCCAGAAAATAGCAAATTTTCTTCAATATAGACGGCATTTGATTTTTAAAAAAAATTTTTTTGGGTCAGTTGTTGATATGTCTCTGGACAAGAAGTGAACATGACGCTCAACCACACAGGGCAGGATATTAATTTAAATTTTCTTGATCAGACTCAGTTATGCTAAGTTTTTGTTTTGTTTAGCATTGTTGTTACATATTGATTCTATTGTCAGTGAAGATCCTAGAAATTGAGCCATCTTAACGATACACTGGTTCTTTGGTACGTCAGTTTACAGTCGTAGACTGTCAGACCTCCAGGTGGCTAGGTTTTTGAAAGGATGTAGATGTGAACTCTTGTTTTAGTGATTGGTCCTCATCACCGCAGTGCAGGTTAATGAATGCTGTGGGTTTCAGCCCATAGTCTCTACATGTTGCCATCCCACAGCGTCATGCACGCACATTGATTTCAGATAAAGCAGCTGCTCTGTGTGTTTGTGGCTGAAGCGTTGCATATCGATCCACTCGAAGAACGTGTATTCTGAACACAAGCCAAGCCCTGCACTTTGAGACTTTAGCTCCTCCCCTCAGAACATGAGAGATCCAGCTGCTGTCCATGTCTGATCCCTCATGAGACTGAGCAGACAGCGCTGGATCCAGGGTTAAAGAGTTTATAATTGCCCCTTAGTGCATGTGTAAATGTTATATGAACCAGAGATTGTGTGAGTGTTTCTGCTTGATTTCTCTCTCTAAAGTGCACACTTTGTATAACATTCATATACACTTTAAAATATCATTTAAAGGTTTGAGGTCGATTAAGATTTAAAAAAAAAACAATTTTTTTGAAAGAAGTTAAAATTAAATAATAAAATTTTACATTTTTTTCACACATACACTGTACATACATTTACATAAAATGTTTCATGTCAAGTTGTAATAACAAAGACATGTCTTTGTTAATGTCAAGTTTGCATTAAGAAAGACATTTTAAACAATGTCAACTTTGCATTAAAAGTGTCATAATTTACTGAATGACACTTAATGACAAACATTCACAAAGACTCCTTCATGTTCATGACAGGTGTTATGTCATGTTTATGACAGTGTCATCTCAGTCTTATGCACACCTCTTCAAATAAAGTGTTACCAAAGGATATTTCTTTTACCTTTTTTATGAGGAGAAACCTTTGTTGTATGGACCATATTTTTTGCCAATTTAAATGATCAAAAAGTCCATTCCAATATGAGATTGCCGGATCGAGGGGCAGAAATAATGTTCTCAAGGAATAGGACTCTTGCTTTATAATTTCTTCCTTTTTTTCAGTGAAACATATCTCACCAATAGGAGTGTTGATAGGTTCAGGCAAAGATAGTGAACCCAAAGAGAGAGAATTATTTTTGAAAAGCATGAGTATGCCAGATGGAATAGCATCCATAACTGTGGCAAACTCTTTGGGAGTTACTCTGAAAGAAACTCTCCACTTAAAAAGCAGACCTTCGTCATTAGAGTAAAGTTATTAGAGCAAAGAGTTGTCTAACATGAAATATTCCATTACTGAACCAGTGATTATAGAATTCCTATTGTTCCATACACAGATGAGGAAAAACGTTATGCTTGTAGTCCATGCCAAAAGAACTTGTAGGTGAAAGTTAGATTGACAGGGAGTTTTATAAATATCATGATTTCACATTACTTTGCACCACCAATTTTCGAGAAGGCAAGCTGAAGAAAAATATTCCAAATAGAGGTGGGAGGTGGGTTTTTAAGGAATCAATTAAACCCATTTCTTTTAATTGTGTTATTTATTAAACTAAAATCAATTAAATTTAAGCCACCCTTTTGTTGAGAATTTAGTATCAGTATCATTTTTATTTGTTTTTCCATAAAAATTTAACTATTCCATCGATAATTTTACAAGTGTGCTTATCAATGTACAGTGACTGAGCGGCATACGTCGCCGCAGTTTAACAAGCAAACCTCTGCCTTTCAAAGAAAGGTCTCTCTGCAGCCAGCAGTTTAAGTGTTTCGTTGTTTTTGTAATAATTGGGTCCACATTTGCAGAGCAGAGTTATCTTTAGTTATTTGTACACCTAAAATATGTAACAGTTTTTAACTGCCACCAATTGAAGAGAACATACTGTTTTTTATTGGAAGTAATTCACATTCATTAAGATTAAGATGTAGGCTCGAGGCTTTAGAAAAGAGATGAAGAGTACACAAGGCTGCTGGTATTTGCAGAGAGTCTTCCAAGAACAGAGCAGCGTCATCCGCTAACTGAGTAATAATTATCTTTGTTTTCCTATTCTGAGTCCTTTTAGCTGGCTTGCTTTGATGTGCGAACTAAGAAATTGAGTCGCAATTAAAAAAAGATAGGGAGATACTGGACATCCCTGTCTCACTCCACGGTTTAAGAAGAATACCGTTACTCAACTTAATGGAACTACTACTATTCATATACAGCATTTTGACCATATTACAGAAGGAGTCTCCAAAGCCAATTCTAGAAATCCTGGCTATGTTTCTTCAAAAATGGAATTTAGGACACATTTTTAGTCTTTTGGTCATAAAGCTATTATTCTGTAGTCATTATTTTATGATTGGGCGCCAATTATTGGGTTATTATTCTTAGAGGTTTTCCATTTTTTAATGAATTAATTGCTTCTACAATCTCATTCATGGTAATAGGAGCGTCACAAAAATCTGTATCTATTTAATTGCTGTACATTCTGAAGAGACTTGAAGAAATCAGTTGCATCTTGGTGGAAAAATTTAGATGTATATGAGTCTGTGTACAATTTAGAACAGAATTTTCCAATTATTTGATTTTCATTTATATATTCCATCAATCATGAGTTTCCCTATATTACCTGTTTTAGCTTGTTGTCTTTCGAAATGAAAAAATAAGCAGAGCTTTGTTCACCTTCTTAAGCCACTTTCTGCGTGATCAGATCAGTAATATCTTCCACATTTTTAGCTAAAAGACTAGCAATTTTACAAATAACATTATTCTCATTAGACTTAGCCAAATCACTACTGAATCTTTAAAAATATTTACAGACTTCATATTTAGCTAACTCCCGATTACTGCAATAGTTATCTTCTTTCTTTGCTTTGTTCCAGAAATGTGTAATAATGTCATTAATATTATGTTTAACTTCAACATAGGCGAGAATTGAGTTATTAAGCTTGTGAATGTGAATAGAAATACCTAAATAGAAATTTAGGATCAGATAATTGTGAAGGTATAATATCAGTTGAAATATTATAGGAGCAAGCCATCGGTCAATGCGAGACTGGCACAAGAAGGATTAATTATTCCATGTAAATACCTTTAAAGATGGGTGAGATTCCCTCCAGCTATCAACCAAAGAAAACCATTGCATGGACATTTTTAAGTATGAATTAGAACTATTAGATTTTGGGGGCTATCTATCAATATTATTGGGGGTCTGAGAATGTGGGACGGTAGCTGCAGGCTCCGAGTCTGGGAGCCAGCTGCAAATGGGCGGGCTAGCAGCAAGTGGGTGGAGCTTTAACCGCAAATGGGCTGAACTAACTTCCAGAGGATTTTGATTGGTTTATTTAGGATCATCCGTGTTGTAACTATTGGTTCAGTGTCGCCAGATGAATGATAATTATTTGAACGATAATTTTGACCTCTTTATGATGTATGATCAATAGTGAAAAAAATCCCACAATGTACAATAATCTCATAATTTTTTGACACGTCAATTGGAGGTCATTGTAATAGTGCTTCTAGCTATAATGATTGTGAGGATAAAGTGAAGGTGAGAGAGCGAGAGATCTTGCGTGTGTGCCTCATGAAAGTTATACCCCCTGTCAACCGGTAAAAAATGCTGTAAAAATAAGTCGTCTCACTACAACAGCTCTCCTGGAGGATGTACTCAATCTCCACTTGTTTGGATTGTGGGTTAAATGCTGCACACCTGGGACGTTTTGTGTAAATTGGTGATGAATAAACTAGTTGTTAGTCTAAAGGAAAACTAAACTACTAGTGTCATCCCTTGGAGTTTAAAAGTTCTGGACACCATTCACTTGCATGGCATGAACCTACAGAGCTGAGAAATTATTCTAAACATTTGTAAATGTTCAATGTCAACTATAAACCCTGGTTCTTATTGTGCTTAATGTGTATCCACTAGGTTATGCTGGGAAGGGAAAGCGAGGCAAGCTCGAGGGCATTTATTCAGAAACCTTCCACCCTGGATTTTATATAGTGTCCTTACAAATAACAAAAATACTAAAAATAATCAAATAAAATAAACACTTTTGCAATCAATTCTGCGTAACTTGTACACGATTTTATTCATTGAAAAAAATGATTTATCCACCCTGAGATTTAAATGTAATATACTGTATGTGTAACACGTTCAGAAGAACATTAGTCTGTCATTTAAAAAAGTCCAATTGCATCATATTTTAATTTGTTCATTTACTTGATCCCATAGAATATGTAGCCTAATATTCAGAAATATGCTTGAATAAGGCCTACAGCCTGATTAATTCAAAACACCATCACTTTTAGTATGGTAAAAGGTGTAAAGACGTGACTTCATCATTGACAGCGAGTGGTATTGGGCACACACAATAACAACAAAGATGTAAGAAATCAGAAAAATATTTTATTGTTTATTTGCATTACTGTCGCTACTTACTCATTCACCGCCGTCCTTGGCAATGACAGCTAGGGGATTTCCGCATAAGCTCCTCCCACTTGCGGTGTAAGCTCCTCCCACCTGCAGGACTTCGGGCTGCAGCGATACATGCTCAGCTGTAGCAGTTTTCTGAAGCAGCTTGTCTTACTTGCTATGACTTGGCTTGTACTTGCTCAGCAGCAGCAGCAGCATAGCAGATCTATTCCGCCAACACCAAACACATTAACATTGTCCCATTCATTACCATGCCACACACTCTGGCTGTCATGAACTATTTGTTTTTGCATTCCAAACTTTCTTTTTAACTTGTTTTTACGCTTAAAAAGTGTTCTTTCTTTCAAATAAATGCCATGTGGTTTGATATTTAGCTATCTAATGCTATGACATTCATGCATTTTAAGTTTGACATTAAGTGTCCCTTTTCGAGGCCATTGTTAGATGTGACAAACTGTATTTTCTGAGGGATTATTAATATGGTCCATATTCTCAGTGATGTGATGAGAGGTTCTGGCTCTTGTATTTCAGGTTTGTGCTGAAAGGATTTGCGTGCTGCAAAAATGAACAGCTTCACCTGCTGAAATCAACACCCAATATGGAGCATTTGGTGGCACACACCTGGCTGCGGAGATTCCCACTGGATCTTCCTGAGTGTGTGGCATTCGTTTTTGAGTGCTAGAGTGTGATCGTGTCAAAGCGGAGAGTGCCATTAAGCTACAGACAGATTTTTCAGTGTGAACGTGTGTGTGCTGTTAAGAGGGACCATGTGGCACACACAGTCAGCAACTTACCTGCCGCTTCGCCACCTGCTCTGCCGACCTCTGAACTTTGCTCTGCGTTGGCTACTTGTGTGGTTGATGTGGTCAGTCTCCATGGCAACAGCACTGACCTACCAGCCCACAGTAAACACAGCACTTGGCAGACTAAGGGGGATGCGGGTTGCTGTGGCAACGGAAGGTCTGGGCCCTGTGGATCAGTATCTGGGTGTGCCGTACGCTTCCCCACCTGTAGGAGAGAAGCGATTCATGCCGCCCGATGCTCCATCGGCCTGGTCCGGTGTACGAAACGCCACCCGCTTTCCTCCTGTCTGCCCACAGAACATTCGCAATGCAGTGCCCGACATCATGATGCCCGTCTGGGCCACCTACAACCTTGACACGGTCGCTACGTACCTGCAGGAGCAGAGTGAGGACTGTCTGTACCTGAATATATACGTACCCACAAAAAGTGGTGAGTACCTACAAACGCAAAATGCACACACACATTCCTTATTTTATATACAGAACATTACTGGTTTTGGTTTTTGGTTCCTAGTGTCTTCCTCATCTACTTGCTGAGTAGATTTTACTTGCCCCTTAGGGGTGTTGTAAGTTTTTTTTTTATGTTAAGTGCTCACGGAAGAGATGACTTTTCAGTTGTCTTTTGAATGCTGTCAGGGATTCTGCATTCCGGATGATGATGGACAGATCATTCCACCAGCATGGAACCGTGAATGAAAATGTTCTGGAGAGTGATTTTGTGGTTCTTTGCCGTCGCTCATTGATCGATTGTAGGCTTCTGGTAGGAATGTAGGAGCGAGTGAAAGTAGGAGGGAGCTGAGCCGGTGGTCGATCTGTAACATGTAACTTGTTCATTCATTATTATACTTGTGAAACTGTTGATTTCTACATGGCAGTTCAATTAATATTGTATTTTTAGACCATTGGTATTGACTGGTTTAAGTTATTTTTTTGGTATAGGCAAGGGCATGGCCTAATGAACCAGAATGCAGGAGGAAATCACATCTGCGAATTGTGCGAAATTCAACATTTTCTGGGGGAGGAACCCCCGACCCCCTAGCATAGACAGCCCCACCTACAATATTTTTCACCAGCCGCCACTGCCTTCAGCCGTTACTTATTCACAATACAGCACTTGCCTCGAGTACCTTATTGCTTTTATAAAACGGTTACCACAATAAAAATATTAGAATAAAAAAATATGTATTAGTGCAACTTTCATGAAGTAAAATCACTAAAAGCCTTCCTTCCGCAAGAAAAAAATAGTCCCTGACCGTGAACAGCAACAATGTTTCAATGTGTAATATAAAAACAACATAGGAACTGCAGTTGGGTGAAGCGGTCATAGCACTGATCCATATAGAATGACATTATATAAATCAGTGGGTCATAGCCATGTTTTATCATGAATAAAGAATCAGAATCAAGGATTGGCACTAACCGTTTTATATATTTTAATAAAAGATCTAGACCTATAATGTTAGCTTAAAAGCACTACAATTCTCCACAGACCATCTCAGCCTTTCTAAGTTACTTCAGAAGATTGTCTGATATCCAGTTCAGTGCCTATGGCCAGAATCCACTCTGTGCTTTCCTTGTAGTCTTTAAATTGAACTGAATCAGTATTTGTGTCCACTGGTGTGAACGTTTAGAGCACTATTTTGGCCTCATTTGGAACAAATAGCAGATTTTTCCTGGTAAAAATTTTGAAAGCTTTATTATTGCAGGGTTTGGGAAAGTGAACCCCTGTTGGTTTCACACAGTAATTTAGAGAGGAGTCCACTGAGCTTTTATACATTACCCACTTACACAGAACCCACAACACACACAAACACACCCACATGTTTCTCTGCGGTCTAGTTTCTGTCGGCTCTTCTAATTTATCATCTCTCTCTCTCTCTCTCTCTCTTTCTCACTAGGTACAAAGAGAACAGGCGACATGTCAGCTGACACAGAGCGTTCAGAGGATGATGGTATGTCCCGTTTTCATCATTCTTTCAGTTAAATCCATTTTTTATGTTTTTTCCTATTCATTTTTTATTCAATCGTGGTTATTGCAAGAGAGAATAATCTGGATGATATTTACCCAATGTTGCATCATTTTCAGGATGATTTTATAAGGTGGTCCAGTGTGTTTGGCCCGTGTTTTGCTGTGGATTTGGGTGATCATAGATATCATATTTCCGGCCACTTCTACATGTGCAATTATTTTACACTGTTCCTATTTCAAATCTATTGTCTGTACTACATTTTGCTAGCCTAGAAATCTAGATGCACCCTAGCAGCAGCAAAAATTATTTCACAGCCAGTGTGGTCTAGCAACTCTCCATAGACGTTTTTTAGCTGGAAAAACCAAACTCTGGTCAGGCCAATCACATAGTGTATAGAGTCGGCGGGCGGGCTTAAAGGGGAAATGAACCACTCAATCAAGTTTACATGATTTACAAGATGGATTTCCACTATAATCAACAATTATATAAGAAACATGACTAATGTAAACATATAAAAGAAAAAAGAAAAAACGTTATATCTTTCGCCACCAGGGCGCCGCCATTATGCAGTATTCTAACATGTGACGTCACTGTGTTGGTTGGCTCAGGCTCTGGGCATTGAATATCGCGACATCAAACTGTTTACACCAGTGTTTTGACCGCGAACGACTAATCTTAGGTACAGTCATTAGACAAAAAGACGACGTCTAATGTTATATGTTGACAAACTGCACATAGAAACATTGTTCACGAAGTCTGCCATCATATTCCCGTCTCGTCGATAAATTACGTTGCTGTGTAGAACAGCCGGTGGTGGTTTGGGGCGAAGGGCGGCTTTGCAACGCTACCAGGTGTCAGTGTGTGACTGTACCTATAACATTAGTCGTTCGCGGTCAAAACACTGGTGTAAACAGTTTGATGTCGGGATATTCAATGCCCAGAGCCTGAGCCAACCAACCCTGTGACATCACATGTGAGAATACTACACAATGGCGGCGCCAGATATAAAGTTTTTTTTTATATGTTTACATTTGTCATGTTTCTTATATAATTGTTGATTATAATGGAAATCCATCTTGTAAATCATGTAAACTTGACTGACTGTTTTATTTCCCCTTTAACATGATGACGACTGAGTTGCGACGGTTCACTGCTAACGTTACATGAAAACAAAGAATGGCTGCTGCTGATGAACAGCTGTCTTTCGATTCGGCTTTGACCGCTACTCTGGATGATTTGAACTTAAAGGGTTAGTTCACCCAAAAATGAAAATTAAGTCATTAATTACTCACCCCCATGCTGTACCAACCCCGTAAGACCTTCGTTCATCTTCGGAACACAAATAAAGATATTTTTGATTGAATCTGAGAGCTGGATCACTCTTCCATAGGCTTCCTAAGGGACTGGCTCTTGACGGCCCATAAAGTCATTAAAGAAAAGGTTTAAATATTCCATGTGCCTACAGCGGCTCAATTATAAGTTTATCAAGCGACGAGAATACTTTTTGTGCGAAAAAACCATAAATAACGACTTTATTCCACTATTCCATTACTTCCTTATGGGCGCATGCGCGAGAACTGAGACGAGGACGTTCTCATTCGTCTACTTCTTGTTACCGGCTGCTCACCGCTTAGGAGTTTTACCGCCACCTACCGTATAAAATGATGATCCATATATAAGGCGCTCCGGATTATAAGGAACACTGTCGTTTTTTGAGAAGATTAAAGGCTTTTAAGTGCACCTTATAGTGCGGAAAATACGCAAATTGAAAAGCGTATGTACAGCGCGCATCTTCCTCTGCTTGTAAACAGAAAGTTTTGCGCTTCCAGCTATATCAGCACATCATCTTATACGGTAGGTGGCGGTAAAACTCCTAAGCGGTGAGCAGCCGGTAACAAGAAGTAGACGAATGAGAACGTCCTCGTCTCAGTTCTCGCGCATGCGCCCATAAGGAAGTAATGGAATAGTGGAATAAAGTCGTTATTTATGTTTTTTTCGCACAAAAAGTATTCTCGTCGCTTGATAAACTTATAATTGAGCCGCTGTAGGCACATGGAATATTTAAACCTTTTCTTTAATGACTTTATGAGCCGTCAAGAGCCAGTCCCTTATGCAGTCTATGGAAGAGTGATCCAGCCCTCTCAGATTCAATCAAAAATATCTTTATTTGTGTTCCGAAGATGAACGAAGGTCTTACGGGGTTGGTACAGCATGGGGGTGAGTAATTAATGACTTAATTTTCATTTTTGGGTGAACTAACCCTTTAAGCTTTTCTTTGAAACCAGAACAAAGAACGGCACTTGAGTCATTAAAAAAAAGATGTATTCGGAGTTTTGCGGACTGGTGGATACGGTAAGAGTTTAATATATCAACTTGCTCCGGAAAACGCATTGGAATCAGCCGTCACCTTCTTCGTTGCTCTGATTGGTTATAGCGCTATCCAATTGCGTGAATTTGAAAGACAACCATGTATCCCGCCCCTCGGATTGAGCTCTTTCAATGATGAGTTCCCAGACCTAACATCTTGATGTAGGTCTGGCATGCCAGGCTAACATTTTGCCACTTTCCGGTTATAACGTTGCATATTACACTGCATTTGAAGTCAACACTAAAATGACTATAATCATCATAATAAATGAAACTGAAAGAAATTTAGTAATTTAAAGGAAGTCTCTGAGGCAGATCTTGGCTGCTTACATTGTTATTTAGTCACTTGTGCTCTGAATGTTGATAAGTTAAATAGATTATTTAAACCTGTAGTCTGTCAGTGGTGCAGAGCATCTCTGTTAAAATTTTGAGCAGCTGTGAAAAACACTTCAGAACACAGAGAGCCTCATGTTTTTTTGTGGACTTCTTTGTGTATGTATTCAGGTCTGAGAGATTCTCGAGATGACCCCCGGCCTGTGATGTTGTTTATACATGGTGGCTCGTACATGGAGGGCACGGGGAACATTATGGATGGTAGTGTGCTGGCCAGCTACGGCAATGTCATCGTCATAACCCTCAACTACAGGGTGGGAATATTAGGTATGTACCACATGAGAAAAGGATTTTAAGCTTTGAAATTTGGTAAAAATCTGTTTATTGTGGCTTAATAAGTGATTTATGAATATTAATGTCACAAACTGATTTAAGATTAAGATAAGATTTCAATTGTTAGAAATCCAGTCATACTATTGAATGGTCGTGCAACACTCTCTCATTTTCCCCTGAGACGAGAGAAATCCGCTATTTACCTTTTTCACTTCCTCCTACAATGACGCAAGAATCGTCATTTTACTTCAGGAGGAAGTGTAAGAGGGGAGAATTTCTGTAAAGACTACAAGCACTAGTTCCTACCCTTTCAAACCCGCCCATAGGGGGTTGGACCTAATGCGCTAACTGACCTATCACAGATCAGTGCCAGTGCGTTTGATTTCACCGGCAGAAACTTTTAAAAAATCTGGACGAAGGTACTGAATACGCAGACGGATGCATTATGGGTAGGGTTGAGTACCGAAACGAAGTTCTGACGTGAATGGTAATAACAGACCAAAAAAGAACGAAAATGTCGGTTCCTGAGTCTCTGTGTCATGACACACGCAAAGTCTCTCGCTCTCCCTCGTGCGCGCACTATACGGTTTGGAGCACAGTCGGATCTGTCTCGCATGCGCGCGCTCTTGCTCGCTCGCTCGCTCTAGATTTCGGGAGATTTTAAGTAATTTGCGGGCATCAGGGATCCATTGTCAATATGTGGGAGACTCCCGGAACGTCTGATAGCGAGGGGATTAATGAAGATGCTGAAGACAAAACGCTCCTAGGTTGTCGATTGTCTGAAGCCCATATACTGTAGAATCACGTCAATCCACTGACTGATGGTGCGGGGGCCGCCTTAACGCTCTTATGTCGTCATATTATATTAGCGCGTATTATCTGATTTCATCGTGCGAAATGATTTCCAGGCGGTAGCGTAGAGTGGAACTCAACTCTAGTCTACATTGATGGGCGGAGTAGTGGGAGTGGCCTGCGGAGCTGAGCATTGCAATGCACTATGGGGATTGTTGTCTACAATCCACAAGCAATAAAAAGTCATTTTCTGCCTTTTATCAGCCAAAGACCCAAATTAGAAATTATGATACTATTCTACTACATATATGACCCACTTTCAAAATGTATTCATGGCTCCACCGGTAGAATTACCCTTTAATTAAGGGGCAATCCAGACATGTAATCCAATATACAGGCAATAGGTCAATATGTCGACACCTATTTTTACGTTTTTTACCTATTTTTACGACACGTGTCGCAAGCGTGTTGGAGGCGTTTCCAGGCAAAATAGGAATAGGAAAAGATGTTTATATGTTATTTTTTACATGAATACATATTAATAAATTGCATTTGGTAGTTGAACGTCTAGGTTTTTACATAAATTTGGATATAAATATAATTAAAAAATAAACATCAGTATTTCACCTGTCAATACAGAACGAAATATTCTGTAGTCTATTTTGCTGTCAATACTGCTGACAGTGTCTTTATCAGTATAGGCTTTATATTCATGCTTAACATGAAGTATAGGGCTTCCACAGTACGTCCTCCCTACGTCACCTAGCAGCAGCAGCGCCACATCAGACACGTTTCTGGTGTGCAAAGACACAGAAAACGCGACGCAGCCGCCACGCAGCCAGTATGTCACAGGCCTAACAAGGTAAATAGACACAGGTGAATGCAATCAGTGATGATGAGTCTGGGCAGTGAGTTATGGAAATGTAGTTTGTGAGGGAGTGATAATAGTCTGTGTGGAGTGCCCTCTGGTGGCTCTCAAGGGCACTCCAGCTGGTGACCATTACAATGAACAAAAACATGTTTATGTTTTGGAGGCAAGATCAGCATGTACAATATGAAATACAGTCATTCCAAATTAAACATGTCAGCCATTATAAAAGCATCCAAGTCTTTAGAAGACCTCAATAATGTTTTATAAATGCCTCGGGGAGCAGATATGTCCATTACAGCCTCATTCAGAGAGAGTGCTGTTAGTGTGCTTCTTTTCTAAAGAGCTCTGATTCTGTTAAATCTCAGCGAGAAAAACATCAAAACAACGCACATTTCTTACTCCGATGTTATCAGACAGAAAATGCCCTACAACGAAAGAAAGAGAAGAGAGTTCGAGTGAAGAATGCTCCCATCTTTAGGAATGAAGAAGCTCTGAAGAATGCTCTGATAAGACAGCACGGCTAAACCCTATAAAACAGCATCTCTGAAATCTAACAAGCATCATCATTACCTCACATTTATCATCACTGATAACCTGTCGGTTGCAAAAAAAAAAAAAAAAAAAAAACTCTGAATGAAAGAAATGTACTCAAAAGAGTTCTGAATCACTATCTTCAAAGACTGTCTTTAAAAGGCAGAGATCCTGCACCCAAATCCTGACTTTAAAACAGTTACAGTACAAAAGATTAGATAAACTTATCAAAGCTCTTTTGTACATCTTGGACAAAGATTTCCTATATTACTGGCAAGACTGTAAACAGCTCCTAAAGAACACAGCCAATCTCAATGGCTTGCTCTAGTTTTGGCTGTTTAGCAATGGCCCAGTTAGCTTCTGCTAGATGTCATAACTACACAACTTTATTTTTTTTATTTTTTTGTAAAGCAAAGTATAGCTACTGTAAAGCTGAACAACTGCCAATGAATGAATGATAATCTAATAAATGGCTTTCTTTATGTCTGGTACACATTGTACGGATTGTCCCAGACAAAAGATGACCAATCTATGTGATCATGGCTCCTAAACGATGGTCCTACGTTGTATAGTGAGAGAGGTTCAAAGACAGCTGTTGTCACGGTCTTGCATCAACAACCGAAATTTACCATGATCATCTCACAGTGAGTGTGTTTACTAAGACCTATGTTTACTGACTAGCCCCAAAAATGCAACATGAAATGGCGTACTGATTAATGCGACAAACTTAAAACCACTTACCTCAAGCTCCATTTGCTAAATTGGCAAGTTGGCTTATTTTCCCTATCCATGACCGTGTCCATATTATCCTCTTTCGCTTCCTTCTTTTTTTTTTAGCACACATAAAAAACACAATTGCCAAAGTGCGATTATTCTTGCTCTATTTGTTTACCAATAGCTCATGCTGATGACATTTTCTTCTTCAACACTACTTGTGTCATTGCCTATGACTCAATAGGTGTCATCGTACAGTCTACATACATGCCGTACCCATGTTTAATAGATCCATGTCATACAGTGTGATTTGTAATGATCTTATAGGATTGCTGAAATCGCAGCAAAATTCAAAATTCAACAACCTTGAAATTCAAGGTTGTGCGACAATATTCGGGGTTTAAGGATTTTTTTATGCATGATTACAAAACATAATAGCTTACCTATAATCTCAGTGAGACATCTGTTTCTGTTTCTCTAAGCTTCAGTAAATTCATCCTATTTTCAGCTGCCAAAAAACACATAAAAAAAAAAATCACTCTCAGGATCATGGATGAGCAGTCAAAATAAAATATTGTTTTTCAAATCTTCCTGTGCTTACTCTCTTTATTTCTCAACCAGGGTTTTTAAGCACGGGTGACCAGGCCGCTAAAGGGAATTATGGTCTCTTGGATCAGATTCAGGCTCTCCGCTGGATCAATAAGAATATTGGATATTTCGGGGGTGATCCAGGCCGCGTGACCGTGTTTGGCTCAGGAATCGGAGCATCCTGTGTCAGTTTGCTCACTCTTTCGCACCATTCTGAAGGTCAGAGATCAGACACCTCAAATAATATTAATGTTTAATTCAGCATATAAATGGTAACACTTTAGTTTATGGTCTAATTCTCACTATTAACTAGTTGCTGATTGGCACTACGATATTGACTGTTTATTAGTGCACATATTAATTCCTTATTCTGCATGGCCATATTCTACATCCCTTAAACCTATACACAATACCTAAATTTAACAATCTTAACCTTACTATCTTTTAATATGCCGTAATTAGGAGTTTATTGAGGTAAAAGTTGTAGTTAATAGTTAGTTATTTGTGATAATTGGACCCTAAGCTAAAGTGTGACCATATTAACATGTCACAGATGCAATAAAATTCTCCTCGCTACTGTTCCAAATGTTTATATATTCAGATCAACATCATTCATGAACATACGTTGAAACAGAGGGACCTGACAGTGAGTACGCTTTGACAAAAATAATATCAAAATATTATTAAATTATAATAATAATAATACATACATTTAAATATCAATGGATTGTTTGGAAAAAAGAGATGATGGACAAAAATATGTCCTTTGAAAATCTCCTCATTGAAATCCTGGTAATAAAGTCATTTTCAATAATTATGCTTATTTAATTATACACTCTGTAAGGCCTCATGGTCATCAGTTAAAGGTGTGTATAGTGTATTTTTGCAGTCCGTAACTGCTGAGACAGCTGCCTCTGCAGCCATGACCACTGTCACATCTGAGTTTCCGTTACCACGGTAATCTCTGCTGTAACCATGGTAACTTGTCTCCTGCCTCATCAGCCTTATCCCTCTGTTGTGGGCCTCAAGTGTGTGTAGGTGTGTCTGTCACTGCAAGGCGTGTGTGCAAAGAGTGTTTTACAGAGATCAGAGTCGATCGCACATGCCTGCAGGGATATTAATCCTCCATCATCGTTTTGCTTCAGTGTACAGTACTGATAACTCCTCTACCTTTCCATCTCTTTCTCTCACCGTTTTGTATTCCCCCTACCTCTTTATATCCATTTTTGACAATTTGATGCTGATCCCCCTATTTCATATCCAGATTACGCATGCATTTGCTGATACAAACAGTTTAGCAAACTGTGATTTTGTACATACTGTATCATTTTATAGCTCTTTTCTCGCTGAATGCATTTACAGCCAAAACCCAGCTGCACTTCTAGGTGGCTGTGAATTTTATGACACCTCCACCAAGTCATGTCTGTTTTCCAGAAATCCTGCTTTCTTAAGGAAAATCACATCTCTGTTTTTGTCTAAATTAATAATAATAATAACAATAATAATTCATTACATTTATATAGCGCTTTTCTCTGCACTCAAAGCGCTTTACATAGAAGGGGGAATCTCCTCAACCACCACCAATGTGCAGCATCCACCTGGATGATGCGACGGCAGCCATAGTGACAGTATGGTACTATCCAGGTATAACCAGGCTCAGTCCTGCTTAGCTTTAGTGGGCAACCTAGTCTTGGGCTACAGGGTGATATGGCTGCTGGGTATAAATTGACTGTCACTACCAATTTTTGCAGTTATTGCTCCAGAAGAGAGCGACCTTTTTTTGTGGGGACCGCAGAACAGGTCATCCCCATTGAGCAGACATTATTTTTCATTGTGTATATAATGAGGTCAGGGGAGGCAGACTGCACCTCTACTGTTGCTAATATATAATTTATGGAGATGTTCATAATGATTGGACTTAAGTTATTTCTACCCTCCTTACATTTAACTGGTTTCTACAGTTTTGTTGCTTCGCTGAAATACACTGATACTAAGTCATTAAGACTTAAGCTCTCTTTAAATTATTCTGACTGTTCCAGACCGAGTGAAATATGCAGTATGACTTCAAACATCAATCAAAAATCAATTTTACTGTTCACTAGAAAGCCTCTTCTGCAGACAAGGATAAAGGATAAATCTGCATATAGATTCCATTTCATTTTCTATGCCTGAACGTTGGATTGAGTACAATAATATTTTCTACATGACAGCAGTAGAAAAAAAACTCTTTATTTATTTATTTCATTTTTTGTTTATTATCTGATGTGAGCACTGTGTGATACATATTCATTTATCCACTCTATCAAACAAGTTTAATTTATTTGATATTTCTATGCTAACATAAGTTGCAGTACCATCTAAAGCAGGGGTTTTTAAACTAGGATACCAGTTTGTTTGTTTTTTCGACACAGTTTAAGGTTAATACACATTAAATTATTCTAATAGTGAGTAGAAAAAGATATACTGTCTTAATTAAAACTGGTAAATATTTCCACATAATATTTAAATTAGCTGTGATTTTACTGTGACACAATAAAGGCTTTAAAAACAATTAAAAATACTATATAATGAATAAATTATTTATAATAATATAAAATACGCTCACCTAAAGGATTATTAGGAACACCTGTTCACTTTCTCATTAATGCAATTATCTAATCAACCAATGATATGGCAGTTACTTCATGGCATTTAGGGGGGTGTTCCGGGTCAAGACAATCTCCTGAACTCCAACCTGAATATCAGATTGGGAAAGAACCATTTCTAGCGTTTACAAAAGAATGGTGTGAAAAGGGAAAACATCCAGTATGCAGCAGCCCTGTGGGCGAAAATGCCTTGTTGATGCTAAAGATCAGAGGAGAATGGGCCGACTTATTCAAGCTGATAGAAGAGCAACTTTGACTGAAATAACCACTCGTTACAACCAAGCAATGCAGCAAAGTATTTGTGAAGCCACAACACGCACGACCTTGAGGCAAATGGGCCACAACAGCAGAAGACCCCACTGGGTACCACTCATCTCCACTACAAATAGAAAAAAGAGGCTACAATTTGCAGGAGCTCATAAAAATTGGACAGTTGAAGACTGGAAAAATGTTGCCTGGTCTGATGAGTCTCGATTTCTGTTGAGACATTCAGATGTTAGAGTCAGAATTTGGTGTAAACAGAATGAGAACATGGATCCATCATACCTTGTTACCACTGTGCAGGCTGGTGGGAGTGGTGTAATGGTGTGGGAGATGTTTTCTTGGCACACTTTAGGCCCTTTAGTACCAATTGGGCATCATTTAAATTCCACAGCCAACCTGAGCATTGTTTCTGACCATGTCCATCCCTTTATGGCCTCTGGCTACAATCAGCAGGATAATTGGTTCTACAGAGCCAAATTGGTTTCTTGAACATGACAATGAGTTCATTGTACTAAAATGTCACCAGATCTCAACCCAATGGAGCATCTTTGGAATGTGGTGGAACGGGAGCTCCGTGCCCTGGATATGCATCCCACAAATCTAGATCAACTGCAAGATGCTTTTCTATCAATATGGGCCAACATTTCTAAAGAATGCTTTCAGCACCTCGTTGAATCAATGCCAGGTAGAATTAAGGCAGTTCTGAAGGCGAAAGGGGGGCAAACACAGTATTAGTATGGTGTTCCTAATAATCCTTTTTGGTGAGTGTATATTACAATTATTTATTTTTAAGAATCTTTTTTCATGCAGTACAAACGGGTCTTTATACTGTGCATCATATTTATAGTCATTTGCAAAATAAAAATGAAAACCCTTTTTTATTGAAATGTGAAAAGACTTTTTTATTCAGCTTGATGCGTTATAAGTGTACACTGGAAGCTTCAATGCAGGGTTTATTCCTTGTGTGTGCAAGCACACGTGGCAATATAGCTCTTTCAGATTCTGATAATAGCTGACTTGAGCTACAATCTCTGAAATACAAGAAAATTCAGCTCCCATCTGGTGGGTGATTGGCATGTTTTACACCCAGTAGAGCATCCCAGTAGGATGTAGCTGTTGAAGTAGTTTTTCTCACTGTTTCTTTGTAGAGTCATTTGCATGAGTCAGAAATACATGTGCTAATTATGGAAGACTTTTTTGGTCACCTGATCAAGGTTGGTGAAACTTGTTTGCAATACTTTCGTACAGTGTGACCATAAAATAATGGTACAAGCTTATCACAGCAACCGTCCTGCTGGAGGAATAAGGGGTTAAAGGTGTTTTGCTGAAGGCCACAATAGTGATGACTCATGGCTTGTGCTTTGCAAAGAACATCTCATGATATTGGACTGTAATGATATTGTATTCTAGGCCTATCAAGTTTGGGACTAGTGTCTCTATAGACATGTTAGCTGTCCGATATCTGTAATCTCTGTCTCAGAGGAGATAGTTGAATGTGAAATATTAAATGATAAAAAAAAGCCCACCCCCAACCAGATGGGTATTATTATATTATCAAACTGACTACAAAACTGTGAGTGCAGTTGAATATGAAGCGTCAAACCTAAGAAACAGTAAGAATTCATTAAAATGTAACTGTATATTGTCAGGATAAAAAGCCACCATAAAAGCAAAAATGACTCTAAAGATCAATTGCCCCTTAAAAAAGTTCATTTCAAGCAATGGACCAAACTAATTATATTTGTTAAGAAAAAATAACCTGTCCATGTACTGATACTGTATAAAAGCATCTCATTTAATAATTGAGAGTGGATAAGAAAAATATAGTAATGTGGTTGAAGTATGTGAGGGTCACATACACAGACAGAGTAAGCCCAGGATTGTGGATGGACCCGTCTTTCGTGACAGATGAAAGATACTGCAACTCTGGCCTTTGAGCATACTAATATAAATGACTGATCTGGAATATTGGCATGGCATTTACGTTTTTATTTTCTTCTGACATTCTCTGTTCTCTCTCCAGGTTTGTTCCACAGAGCAATCATTCAAAGTGGCTCAGCACTGTCCAGTTGGTCAGTGAACTATCAGCCTGTGAAATACACTCGTCTCCTCGCAGAGCGTGTCGGCTGCAATGTCCTTGACACACAAGTAAGATGATCGTTTTAATTTGCTTGTTTATTATCGAGTGATTAAGGAGGAGGTTACAATGCAGTTGTGAAATTTGATTGGTTACCAGTGTAATCATTTAGTATTTTTAACTTTATTTTAGTGTTTTAATGACTAGCCAATTTTAGCTGTTGTGTAAGTGAGGAGGCAGATATAATGGTTGTGTGTTTTATGCAGGACCTGGTCCTCTGCATGCAGAAGCGCAGCTACAAGGAACTGGTGGAGCAGGAAATTCAGCCAGCGCGCTTCCACGTGGCGTTTGGCCCCGTCATTGATGGTGACCTGATCCCGGATGACCCTGAAGTGCTCATGGAGCAGGGGGAGTTCCTTAACTATGACATCATGTTGGGCGTTAACCAGGGCGAGGGCTTCCGCTTCGTAGAGGGTGTGGTGGAACCAGAAGAGGGCGGAGTTTCAGGCTCGGATTTTGACTTTACAGTATCTGATTTTGTGGACGGTCTCTACGGTTATCCAGAAGGGAAGGACACTCTCAGAGAGACCATAAAGTTTATGTACACCGACTGGGCCGATCGAGACAATCCCGAGACCCGCCGCAAAACCCTCGTGGCCATGTTTACGGATCACCAGTGGGTGGAGCCAGCTGTGGTGACGGCCGACCTGCATGCACGTTACGGTTCCCCGACCTTCTTCTATGCATTCTACCATCACTGCCAGAGCCCTATGAAGCCTCCATGGGCAGACTCGGCACACGGTGATGAGCTCCCCTATGTGTTCGGCATTCCGCTTATTGGTCCCACTGAACTCTTTCCCTGCAACTTCTCCCGAAATGATATCATGCTGAGTGCCGTCGTTATGACCTACTGGACCAATTTTGCAAAGACTGGGTAAAACAGAACACTCTTTAAAATAGCACAAACAACCAATCAAAGAAATATGCACAATTAAGCAACACAAAGTGAAATATTATATTACAACAGTAAAATATCTGGACTCAAAGAGGTTTATTATTTATACATGCCACTCTGTAATCAATTATACAATCATTAAAAAAAAAATCTATTTTGTTCACAGTCCAGTGCATGAAAAAATGCAGTAAAAAAGCATTATATGTTAGCATTTACACCATAGCACGTTGTCACAAAACAACTAGCTCCCATCTTCCACCTTTCCCAGCCACCAGGGAATGGTAAAACAAGTGTGACTGGTAATCTGGTAAACAGTCACTGTGACCTTGAAGTAGGTCACAGCACAGGGAGAATAGCTAGAATCTGTGGGAGGAGCAATGGTTTAAGTAAATTGAAATGTAAAACGGGATCAACATTTTTAATCAATGAAACAGTGCCTTCTGGTGGAAACAAAGTGGCATTAAAACAATGCACCTGTAGATACACACTGTACACATACATCAGCTCACACCAGGGACAGTTTCATATGTCGTCGTTATTCACAATTGGTTTGTTTGATAAATCTTGTATATGTTTGATATGTGTTTCAAATAATAGCCTACATATTTATTTACTAAATACCCTTCAAAAAGATATTTTGAGTCTCTTATGCTCACCAGTGAAAACAGTAATATTGTGAAATATTATTACAGTTTTAAATAACTTCATTTTCAATATATTTTAAAATAATGTATTCCTTGAAGGCAAAGCTGAATTTTCAACATCACTGCAGTCGTGTGTCACATGATCCTTCAAAAATGAATTTGCTAATTTGCAGCTCAAGAAATATTTCTTATTATTAGCAATGTTAAAAAATGACTGTCACTTTTGTAATGAACCATTTGTTCTACAGCTGGATATAATTTTTCAGAAATTCAAATGTTCATTTTGTTGAATAAATTTAAATGCCATTATGCAAAACTAAACTGAATAGGGTATGATAAAATATAAATGAATTTTAAAATGTACTAAAACAATCGTTTATATAGTTCAGATGTAATTAATTAACTGTTTTTTTTTTTGTGTGTGTGTGTATCTGTTTGTTTAGGGATCCGAACAAGCCAGTTCCTCAGGACACGAAGTTCATCCACACGAAGGCAAACCGTTTTGAAGAAGTGACATGGGCCAAGTACGGTCCTCACGACCAGCTGTATCTGCATATTGGACTGAAGCCTCGTGTTCGGGATCATTATCGAGCTACTAAAGTGGCCTTCTGGAAGCACCTGGTACCTCACCTGTACAACCTGCACGACATGTTCCACTACACGTCCACCACCACCCGGGTTCCACCCCTTCTGACCACGCACAGCTCTCACAGTGCTACGCCACGGCCAGGCAGTAAGGCTCGTACCCCTGGTAAACAGCCCCCTCAGTCCACAGCACGCAGCGGACCGCTGGTCATTGCCAATCCGCGCGATTACTCCACGGAGCTGAGTGTCACGATCGCTGTGGGAGCGTCACTCCTCTTCCTCAACGTCCTGGCCTTTGCTGCGCTCTACTACCGCAAGGACAAACGCAGTCGGCAGGACACGCCCCCTCAGTCCGCACCTCAGCGCCAGACCCCGCCCAATGACCTCAGCTACACACCCACCTCCATCTCTGGGGGTAACCCGGAGGAGGGCTCACTGTGCGACCCCCTACGTTTGACCCCGGCGTCATCTCCACGGGATTACGCCCTCACACTCCGCCGCTCACCGGATGACATTCCACTCATGACGCCCAGTTCTGTGGCCATGACTCCGAATAGCGGCACCATGACACCCAACACAGTTAGCTTGACACCCAATAGTGTTACCATGACGCCCAACACCATAACCATGTCACCTAATTCTTTGATGGGCTATCCCAGCATGCACCCTTACAACACCTTCACACATGGATACAACTCCACCAGCCTGCCCCACCCACACTCAACAACACGCGTATAACATGCAACAGCAGAAAGTCCACACGGCAACACACAACACTCACATGCCACAAATCCATACAACACAATCACAGCGACTGATTACTGTAAACCAGATCAATCCGGTGCAAACTGTTTAGCAGTATTCAAAAGTACAATAGCAGGTGAAACTAATAATAACATGAGCACAATCACCTCTGATTTAGGGCACTAATGAAACAGTATGACCCATCAGAAACAATCATATAAACCAGAAGGAAACGGACCATATAAGGCAGAAGGAAGTGTCACTGCAGCACACTAGTACGGCTCAGTATGAACGCACCGCTTCACTTCTGACCTATGTCTATACAGACAGTATTCACGTTATATGAGCAGTTAAGAAACTTATCTGTGGAATAAGAACGAGCAGGTTACCCTTTGGGTGAGCTGTAGTACCGCTGCTGCCTCTAGGTGGTGCTGCAAGACTCTGAAAACCCTGCAAGTGTTTTGATCCGTAAGAACAGTAGGGGGCGCTGGAGTCCCATCAGTGGTTCACCATTATGAACCAAGCAAGCACTTATTCTAAGATATGTAATAATAATAACCTGTAATAACAAACATATTAATGGCTATTGTACAGTATAACATATATTAACGTCAATGTACAGACAGCTTTTTTGAATGTGTCAGAAGAAAAAAAATATTTCTAATCGTTTTTAAGATCAGATTATATCCATATAGCAAAGATGGTCATTTGAAGCCCAGAATGATTTTAATTCCTTAACAGGTTTTTTTTTTCTTTATTTATAGTCGCAAAAATGTTTACCATTTTATACATCCTCTCTCTCTCTATGAACGGGTGGATTGTGATGGCTATTTTACTTTTGGTATAATCGATTCATTTGTAGATTACACGAACAAATCACGTCGAATATTTTAAGGAACACGGCGTGTGTGAAGATTATTCGTGAGTGAGAGAGAGCGAATACATGCGTAGTTAATTTTCAAGTTAAGCATCTTTAGATAATTTGTGTCTTGCTAAATGTTATCATTTTGTGAAAATGCTTTTCAATCATCTTAAATCTGTAGTGTATCTGAGTTTGTTCGATATGTTTTGTGAAAATGTTCGAACTCAATTTGAAAGCATTGAGTTTTTTCAGTATTTATCAGTGATATGACATCACTCATACAGTAATGACATCACTCATGCTGTGATGTGACAGGCTTTTGCTGAGAACTTTCCCGTGAAACATGAATGTGGTGATTTGCACTGAACACATATGGGCTTCTCTGATGAAGGACGTTCTGAAATATCATGTTTACTACGGAGCTGCACAGAGTTTGCACAGGGGTACAACAATCGTGTAGTCATGGTGTCATATCCTGCCAGATGGTTAGATTATCTATGTTACCCATGCTAACCACCCCTGCCATGATTTTTGTGCCAAATTTGCGATAGTTTCCTTGGTAACCAGCAGAACGTTTGTCTGTTAATGTGTTTGTGTGAAAGTTCAACAGCTTTATAAAAGAATTTGCAGTATTTACCACAATTTGAGTTCATCTGGACTTTGAGAAGGAAAGACGATGGCATTTGGATGCATGTGTTGGAAACAGCAGTGTGTCTCTCCTGGATGAGGGTGACCTGATGTGCAGCTGCTCAGGTCTGTCGATTCAACGGCTTGCAGAAGTCTGTTCTTTTATACTCTGTACATTTCTGCCTCAAATTTGCAGTAAACATTGAGTTTGCCTAAAATTCCTGTTTCTTATTTATCAAGATTGACTTGGAGTCTGAAGACTGAAGTTTTTAATCTGTGACGCATAACAAACCTTTTAAGCCCGGAACACACCAAGCCGACGACGCCGACAAACTAGCGCTGATGAAAGCCGACTGTGTTGTCGCCTCTCGTCCCCTCTAGTCGGGATAAAAAGCTGCACATGAACACACAGAGAGAACTACAGGCGACTGTCAGCTATAATGTGCGTTCTGCGCCTGCGTGTAATGCCAACTGTCTATTTCAGCAGGCCTATTCCTAATTCAAAAAGGAAAACTGATGCTGAAATCTGCAGATATAGACCGTAAAGGATTAGTTCACTTTTGAAAAAACTTTTGCTGATAATTTACTCACCCCCATGTCATCCAAGATGTCCATGTCTTTCTTTCCTCAGTCGAAAAGAAATTAAGGTTTTTGATGAAAACATTCCAGGATTTTTCTCCTTATAATGGACTTCCATGGGAACCAGGTCCAACCGAGGTCCAAACGACAGTTATAACAGTTTCAGATGCAGCTTCAAATGTCTTTAAACGACACCAGACGATGAATAAGGGTCTTATCATGCGAAACGATCGGTTATTTCAAAGCTTATTCCAAAAATGTAACTTTCTAAGGACAAATGCTAGCCTTTCTCTGTTCTGTGAGGCGCGTTTGCAACGTCACGTAATACGTAATTACATTCAAAAGGTCACGGGCGACGTAGCCAGAAGTACAAAATCAGTGTTTACAAGTTGAACGCATAGGTTGAACGTGAAAACTAACTCAAACGCCGTTTACAAAAAAGGAATTAAACGGTAAAACAACGATGTCGGACGATTTTGATTCTGTACTTCCGGCTACGTCGCCCGTGACCTTTTGAACGTAATTACGTATTACGTGACGTTGCAAACGCGCCTCACAATATATTGCAAGGCTAGCATTTGTCCTTAGAAAAGTTACATTTTTGGAATAAGCTTTGAAATAACCGATCGTTTCGCATGATAAGACCCTTATTCATCGTTTGGTGTCGTTTAAAGACATTTGAAGCTGCATCTGAAACTGTTATTAACTGTCGTTTGGACCTCGGTTGGACATGGTTCCCATTGAAGTCCATTAAGGATATAAGGAGAAAAATCCTGGAATGTTTTTATCAAAAACCTTAATTTCTTTTCGACTGAGGAAAGAAAGACATGGACATCTTGGATGACATGGGGGTGAATAATTTATCAGCAAAAGTTTTTTCAAAAGTGAACTAATCCTTTAAAGGGTTAGTTGAGGTTCACCCAAAAATGAAAATTAAGTCATTAATTACTCACCCCCATGCTGTACCAACCCCGTAAGACCTTCGTTCGTCTTCGGAACACAAATGAAGATATTTTTGATTAAATTTGAGAGGTGGATCACTGCTACATAGGCTGCCTAAGGGATCGAAACTTTACGGCCCAGAAAGTCATTGAAGAAAATGTTTAAAATTTATTCCATGTGACAACAGTGGCTCAAGTATAAGTTTATCAAGCGATGAGAATACTTTTTGTTCAAAAAAACAAACAAAAATAATTACTTTATTCGACTATTTCTTTTCTTCCTTCTCGGTGTTTGATAAACTTATACTTGAGCTTACACATTCTTTCTTTCAGGCTTTTATGAAAATCTAACTTTAGAAAATCTTAGAGCTACTGGAAAATCTTGGTCTACAAAAAAATATTTGTATTGGAATATTTCACACAAAATTAAAAATCTATTAGCCTATCAACCACTCGGGCAGTGCTTTTTTCATACGACTGTGCAGGCCTACATATGGGCCAGTGGCATAAACAGGCACAACAAGAACGCTGTTTTTTACTGGACACATTTCTCAATACTTGAAATACTCTCAATACTATAAAATATGTCAAAAAACAAAAGAAAAAAAAAACGCACAAATGAGGCAAACTATGTTTTGCTAAATCTTCTGATATGAGCAGGATTTTGTGTGAGCAGTTTAGGTAATATCAACACTTGCCTATAAAACCATCGCCTAATTGAGGTTCCCTCACTAATATGATAACACTTAGTAAATTACATTTGTGTGTTTACATTTTTTGTAAAAAAAAAAAAAAAAAAAGTAAAAATGGGGCTTTTGACGGATACTTTTAATGGAGCGCACAAAATCACAACATTTGCTTACATGTGTGTGTGTGTTACTGAAAGAGAGTATTGTCTGTGTGTTCCTAATTCGGACAACTGTAGTATTGTATTGAATGGTCTTTTGTCCCAAACTGACTGAGTTTAACCGCCCTCAGCTTGCTTAAAAAATGTCTGTGTGTGCAAACTTAACCAAATTTTGGAAACAAATTTGTACCTAGAAGTTAGTTCAATCTGACCATAACCTTTTATTGGAGACATCCTCATTTGTAAAAAACGTAATTAAAATAAAATCAATAACTGCGAAAAGATAGAAAGTTAAGAAAATGTATTTTTGTGTGTGTGTGTGTGTGTGTGTGTGTGTGTGTGTGTGTGTGCGTGTGTGTGTGTGTGTGTACACGGATGTTTATGTATAACTTGTGAAGAGGCCAGACGTAAGAGATACTAGTGTGTGTGTGCATGAGTGTTTTGGCCCAGTTGTTCATCTTTATCATGTATGCGGATGAGAACTAGGATTAATTACACTGACACAAACACAAACACACTTACTCTTTATTTATCATGGCTGTGAAAGAGGGCGCTGCATCTTTAAGATCTGCCCCAGTGTGTGTGTGTGTGTTTGTTTGTTTGTGAGAGAGAGAGAGAGAGAGCAAAGGGGTTTGTTTATTGTTCCAGGGACAAAAGCGTGAGTGAGTATCATAAAAGCATCGAGAGATTTAACTACACGGCACATCAGAGAGACAGAGCGCGATACGCACACACATACTCACATGGGTAAGTCTACCTGAACTCACCTGAACCCATTTTTAACCATGGCTATGATTTTTAGAATTTTTTTCCTTCTGGCAGAATTTGAATTGATTGTTCTGTCTGTGATTTGCATGTGAGTTGTTTAGATAAATGCAGAGAAGTGTTTTAATGATCCTTTTTGATGTAGTTTGTAAGATTAAGATGACTACTGATTGGTCAGAAGAAGCTTAGAAGCATCACTCCTGTACTTATGGAGGGGATAATCAGTATTCAATGGATCCTAATCAATTAAAAAAGGTTGTTTTGATTGATTAACCAGCTGGCTCTGCTTTTGATTGGCTAAGACAGTTACTATGGCGCCTCAGAGTTGTGGATGAGACGACCAGGAGACTCCAGCCAGAGTTCACATCAGGTCTTTAGGTCAAATATTCTCTTCTCTGTGGGCGACTCCTGTCCGGCCCAGTGCCAGTCATGAATTTACATCTATGCATTGTATTATTTTGTAGTGTTTTGTTTTTGCAGGGCTGACAGTAGATTAGATGGACAAAAGCTAATCAGCCTTCTGCAGAATCATATTTTCAGTTTGAACTGCTCAAAACTATGGATAGTTTTTCCAAACTTGTTGTTCTTTCTTCTCCAAAACACAAAGGAACACTGGTGTCCAAACAACATTGGACCCCAATGACTTATCTTTGTATGGACAAAAAGTAAAGCACAGAATTTCAAAGTACATTCTTTTGTGTTCCACAGAAGAAATAAGGTTTACAAGTTTGGAACGACATGAGGGTGAGAAAATTATGACAGAATGTACATTTTTGGGTAAACTATCCCATTTAAGTTCACTTAAGACCAAAATTCTCAAAATATGTGTCTTTCAGTTTCAGGTCTTTCAGAGTGTCAGGCATTTTTGACACTTGTTGAGAAGATAAGCTAGGAAAAGAGTCTAAAAAGGGTGAAGGCTGGTTGACCTGCAATGATCCCAATTGTAACCCCGGTGGTGTCAGTATGTGTCTGTCTGTGCCGCTAAGGGTGGAAATGCAATGACGCACTCCACTGCTGAGGCCTATGAGTGTGTGTGTTTGTTCACAATGATACGTTTTGTTGTTAAAACAAAAGCCATTATGACTGTCACAAGTGCTTCTTTTTCTGACCACAAAACCCCAAACACACACGAAAACGCACCCACCCCTCCAAATCTCACCCTGACACCAGGCTACTCAGGGCAGAGAGAAAGAGGGAGGGAGGGAAAGAAGGACAGAAAGAAGTGAGGGAGGGAGAGGAGCAGCTTAAGCGATGCGTTTTTTTTCTTCCTTGAGGTGGACAGTTGAGTGTATCTGAAGAAAGAAAGCGAAATTAGTGCAACAGAGGACAGAAATCCCTGTGGAGTGGACAAGCGTCTGCACGGCTCTCTCCTGGTGTGGGTTCGGCTCAGCAGTGTCCATGTTTCCAGTGAAACAGCCGTGGTTGTGTAAAGCGCTAGGTGACCCGAGGCACATCATCATCATCTCTCACACACTGGGGACTGCAGAACTTCATAGCTGAGCCTTCTGCCGCTTATTGTTTGGCTTCTTTTGGGTGCACGTAGCGCATATCCATCTTTTTTATTTTCAGGTTTTTGGGTTTCTTTTTGTGGTTGGAGATTTCGAGCAGGGCTTTTTCATCGCCTGCATTCATGATACATTGAGTGTTTAAAAGTGTGTGCATGTGTCAGTCAGATAGAGCGCATCGTGTAGGCTATGTGTGTGCATGTTTTTGTGCGACCTTGACTTACTATAGGTCAACTAACTCTTAAAAGCTCATTAGCGGTGTTTGTTATAAGTGTGTGTGCTCATTCATAGGTCAGCGCTGAGCTTTCTAGATGATCATGAGTGCGCTTGTGTGGTGTTAGAATAGAGTGTGTGTATAAATGTGTGTGTGTATTGTGTGTGCTGCATGTGCAGTGTGTGTGTTGATATATCACTCACCTACAGGTTGCTATGACTGCTGCATCCGCTGCCTGGGCGCCGTGCCCTACACCAGCCTGCTGGCCACCCTGCTCTGCTACGCCGGTGTGGCACTCTTCTGTGGGGGAGGGCATGAGGCGCTCACTCACACACACACATTCATAGAGCTCTACTTCGCAAGGGACGTGCAGGATTTCATTGTGCTGGCAGACTTGTGAGTGATTGTCTTTCTCTTTCTTTTTGTGATTGTGGGCCTGTTTTTGATTATTCGCGTCATTGTTCCATATTTTGTGTTTCAGTATAAAATATTTCCAGTATGTGATCTACGGTCTGGCCTCCTTCTTTTTCCTGTATGGATTGTTGCTGTTGGCTGAAGGTTTTTACACCACCAGTGCAGTAAAACAGACGTTCGGAGAATTCAGGAGCACCCAGTTCGGGCGCGGCCTCAGCCTGACTGTGAGTGTGTGTATGTGTGTGTGTGTGTGTGTGAGAGAGAGAGAGAGAGAGAGAGAGAGAGAGAGAGATGGTTTTTGAATTTTGTGATCACACAGAATATTCCCCTAACGTTCCCGAATGGTCCAATGAAATTTTTTTTTTTTTTTTGGGAACCAAACAAGAACGTTATAGGAACGTTCCATGTAGGTTATTTTTTTAGGTTCCATTTTTATAACGTAAGGAGAATGTTCCCGGGAATGTTCCCTTAACCTTAAGGGAAAGTTCTAGGAATGTTCTGGGAACCAAAAACTAACGTTCCCAGAACCTAAATTTGTTTGCTGGGTGGTCCCTTTGCTTCTTTCTTGATAATGAAATTTTATGAAAAATAAATGCACATATATATATATGAAGAGTTCAGATGCAAAAGCCTCTAAATGCCATTTGAAATTTTCATCTTTAATGATGATTTTTATCAAACTTGTATATTTAAGTTCAGTAATTTCACTTAAATAACAATTAATAGGTAATTATCATTGCCATTTAAGTGAAATTACTGAACTTAAATATACAAGTTTGATAAAAATCATCATTAAAGAAGAAAATTTCAAATGGCATGTAGAGGCTTTTGCATCTGAACTCTTCATATATATATATATATATATATATATATATATAACAAATTATGAATAATATTTTATGCATATTAATAATAATTATTTAACCCAAATTGTGCTGTGTGCTTTGTTCAGTTATACTCAGTCCTTCAGTATGTATTTCTTTCAGCTTAAAATTAGATTTTGAAAATGTGATATCTATATCAAAAATGAATGTCATGAAAAAATCATGGAGAATCTTATGTCAGAAAGTGTGGGAACTCTAAAATACACACCAGCTAGATCACTATCTCATCCAACTGCAACTTGATTGTTGTATCTAAACTCCCTGATAAATTATGAACAGTTGATTTAGTCTTTATTTTGTTTCTATCTTGACTTTAGGTGCTATATAAATCAAAATTCACTTGCTTTTGTTCATGCTTGATCTGAATATCTGTCTCTCTCGACCAGCTGATAATCCTGACATACATTCTCTCGGTGATCTGGCTGGTTGTCTTTGGCTTCACTGCCATTCCCGTGCTCTTCTTCATTAATATGAAAAGCTCCTGTCACAGGGTCAACATTCTGTCGGAAACCACCTTGTTCAACCAGCAATCAAGAGTCTGCATGGACGCACGGATGTTTGGTACGTCTGCGCCCATGTGTGTGTGTGAATGTGTGTGAGTTCATGATCATGATGTCTGTTTGTTCTATATAGGGTTTCTTCCCTGGAATGCTGTGCCCGGGATTGTTTGTGGAAATACGCTGGCCAACATCTGCAAAACACCAGAGGTTAGATGGTTATAGTCCTGGACACACATACATACTCAGGGTTTCAAGAGATCACATTACTTATATCTCTTTTCATGTTTCCAGTTCCACATGACCTATGACCTTTACATCTGTGCATTTGCTGGAGCAGTAATCACCCTTCTTGCCCTGGTTAGTGATCTCATATTCTGAACTTTAAAGTCGTTTATATTTACCGTAGAAGATGTTTTGTGCAAAGTCATAGTGGTTAACTGGTTCCTACTTCAAGGGCCTCCTTGCTTTGCATTCTGGAAAGCATCCATTATTAATTGGTAAATACACCTCTGAAATCTTTATGAAATGATTTTAAGAGTAAGAATTTCAAACGATTGGTCAATCTTGACAATTTCTGAGAACAGACTCAGGTAAATTACACATTTTTACAAACTTGACAAACTTCCATTGGCACTGAATTTGGACTGGATTCTTTGAGGTCAGAGTGCAGAGCTGTCAAACAGCATGAAGTTCATAACGGAAGTACAGCAAGGGAATGTTTAGTTAACAATCAGTAACTGTCCTCTCTGCCACTGACAGATCCCCAGTGTCTCTACTACTCCCTTTCCTGTGTATTTGGCAGCAGTTATTTCTCAGGCTTTATCTAATGAGAATCATAGAGCGCTAACTATCAGGACAACCCTCTGTCATGCTGAGGATCACAGTGAGATTGATGCAATCATGTAATAATAATGTAATAAGTTGAAAATCGCTGTCTCAATGGCCTCCAAAAGACAATTAAGCTACACTTAATTCTCCGTTAGATATGTGCCATCTGCAAACAAATGAACAAACCCCAGTTGCTCCAAAGGGATTGTTCCTCTAAAATATTAGTATACACGCTGCTACAGTCAAGATTGTAAATAAATGATGTGGTATAATTAGAATCACATGCCTTGTGAGTGCCAAAGGGATATGAACTTCATGCCAGTGACACCTTCTGATCAGACAAATGGTTTGTTCTTTCCTTTTTCTAGTTCCTTTACGTGGTTGCCACCACCTACAACTACGCTATTCTAAGGTTTCTCGGAAGGAAGGGAATCCGTTGCTAGGTTCGGTGTTGCTAGGCCTGCTTTCCTGTTGCCTGTTGCAGCAGTATCAGTGGTGTCATCACTGTGGCCCGTGAGGAAAAGCAAGAGAGTGCCATGAAGCCCCTGCAGAGGTCTATCATACAGAGCACAACACACACACACTAGTGAGACAAATAAGCACAAACCTCACTAAAGAACACTGATTAATGGGGAAAAAAAATGATTGAAGCCCTACACATAAAACCACAAACTACTGTACTGTAGATCTCTGGAGGAGTGGAATCTAGCTTCTCTATTTCTTCATTTGTCTTTGTCACACACACATTATCATACCGCTCTCTCCTTTTTCTCACGGCCATTTATTCATTTTAATGATTGTATTCATTGTGCTTCATGGTCATATTAATGCCTTGCAGTTTGCTAGGATTTTAGCTTCTCTTTTCATCTTTTTGAGAGTTTGACTTGTTTCCTCAGTCAGTTGTTGGTTTATATTCTGAGACACACAGAGAAACGGCACTGAAGTGAGCGGATTTCTTTCTGTCAATTTGAATTCAGTATTTAAAGACACTCTTAGTGTCAGTGTGTATTTGTTGTATATTTTGACTAACTGTGGCAATATGCTGAACCTATTCAATGATGGTGCTCGATCAAAGGAACTAATGTTTTTTTAATTATTCTAGCTCATTTTAGAAAACTACAAACATTTCTAGATTGATAACTGTAAATGATTAATACAAATAATGCAAACTAAAATGAATTTACATAAAATTGTGTGTTGACTTCATAGAAACTCATGCAATAAACTTTAATGAAAGATGACGATCAGTGTTGTCAATTCTTACAGCTACAGATCACATCTAAAGAGGATATTAAAATTCACTTGAAACTGAATTGTTAGAAGAAGATGAGGAATATGTTGATCAGACACAGAGAGAGATACTTAATTAACCCCCAAGGGGAAATTGTGTGTATGTATATATATATATATATATATATATATACATATGAAGACTTGCTCACACAGCAATTATCATTTACAGCTGAATTAAAGTGAACTTAGTGGTAGACTCTGCGATGAGCTTAGTTGTAAGTTGTAGTCCAGTAGGTGGCTGTGGGGATGAATCATCAGAGCTGGAAGATTTGTTCAAAGCATCTCTCGCAGAGGACTTTCCCAGCATAGTGGTATATAGATGAGGAGAGATCACCCAGAGGACTGTTGCAGCCATTACACTTAAACACACACAGAGAGACAAAGCATTACTGATCACACTGCAGCACATCTTATTGCTTCTCTGCGTCCATATAAAGCAAGACCTATAAAGCTGACTCTTTAAAGGAGTAGTTCACTTTTTAAAAAACTTTTGCTGATAAATTATCGTAAATTATCGGGTGAGTGAATTATCGGCAAGTTTTTTTATATTTTTTTAAGTGAACTACTCCTTTAAAAACCTTGATGGTAGGCGGCCTAATCTACACAACCACAGTTGATAAATTGTGTCAACGGCCGTTTATGTAAAGTGTGAACTCGAACCAGAATATGACACTTGGCTGGCAAGAGTTTATAGTTCAACAAATATCGTTCTGCTTCGGAATACATTATTAATCCACTGTGGTTGTGTAGATTACCATCACGTTCACTTTGTGTGGTTTTTGAAGCGTCGACTTTGGAGGTCCCATACACTTTCTTTAAATGGATTCATAGAGATTGATTATTTTTCTAAAAATATTTGTTTGTTCATGTGAAGAAAGTCTGGGACAGCATGAGTAAAAGATCATTTCTGTCATCTTTTAAATATGTCATCACTACCTTTCTGGGCCTTGAAGTTGTTATAAAGTTGCAGTCTATGAAGGATCAGAAAGCTCTCGAATAAACTAAGGTCTTATTTTTGGGTGAACTAACCCTTTATGTCTCCTATATGACCACTTGTGTTCGGATTTTGCAGAGATTCCTCTTTTATTTCATGGTGCAGAAACAACTCAACCTCAGCGTCCATTTTCTGGCCTTCTCTCTTAGGTCTCTAGTGCTTAGGAACGTGGGCTCTAAAGCTCTTGCCTGATCATAACCCTTCTTATTTTCAGTGACTTTTCTTTTGCAATGTTCCTCAGCTATCTCTTTTTCTCCAGTCTTTCTTCAAATCTCCCTCTTGCTCACTCTCTCGCCTCCCCCATCATGAGTGTCCTATACTGCTGATTGGCTACAAGTGTGTTTTGGAGCATGTTACGATCCACTTCAACTCAGAAATCACTTACTGCACCTTTAAGACTAGGTGGAAATATATAGACAAGGCTCAGATGAAAACAACTTTGATGAACGTTGAGACACTGACTTCTGAGCATGGTTCAGTACAGAGGAAGAAGAGATTTAAAAAGCCAACCTTGAAACAATCCGGATGGCAGCAAATGTTAGGAATGTTGATGATAATTTTCACACTTCCATTTAAGGGCAACTTGCAGATGGAACACATGGTTTTATCTTTCACACTGCTAAGGGAGACATACACAGATACACAGATGTCTTATTAAAAATAAAACTGTGTTGAATACTATTACTAATACATAAAACTTTATTGTCAAAATAAATGCAATTATTTAGTGAGACAGGTCAAACTTAATTTGACAGTGTTGATGTGTTTACATAAGTACTGATTTATACTGATAAACTATATACTTAGTGTCATAGTTTGTGTGACTAAATTACTGCTTTTCTAGAAGATTTCATTTTTGATTCCTCTTTCTGATTCTCTAGAGCCATATATTTAATTTAATGGACACTGATTTAATTGACTTACTTAAGCATACATTCAACAAAAAACAAATTATCTTACAATTTTCTAGGCACTGCCTATGAGTCAATATAGGTCAACAAATGTCATATAAAAGGTGTTGCATAAACGACTGACTTACCTCAATCCAGCTTCACTGTTCACCCTGTGGTGCTCTGCTGTGGCTTCCACAAGAGGCTCTTCTGTTGGTTCTGTAGTTGGAGTTTTCAGAGCAGATACTAGTGAAAGTTCCCCATTACTTGGAGGCTGGTTTTCTGCTTGTCTGGGTTTGAGTGGATTCTCTCCAACAGGTGCATGTGCTGTTATGAGTTGTTCCACTGGACTGTCTTCTTTTTTCTCTGTGGTCAGCACACCTGAGGGTTTTGATGGCTTCTCATGTAGAGTTTTGTTTTGTTCTGTTTTCTCATCCAGTGCTCCACTGGATTGCCTTTGATCTGTTAAAACGTCTTCTACTGTTTTCTTCCCTGTTACCTCTTCACTAGTGTCTGCAGGTGTCTTCAACGGTTCCTCTACAGGTTTGACTATAGTTTTCTCCACTACATCCTTTTGAAGAGCATCTGCAGGTGTCTTCAACGGTTCCTCTACAGGTTTGACTATAGGTTTCTCCACTACATCCTTTTTAAGAGCATCTGCAGGTGTCTTCAACGGTTCCTCTACAGGTTTGACTATAGTTTTCTCCACTACATCCTTTTGAAGAGCATCTGCAGGTGTCTTCAACGGTTCCTCTACAGGTTTGACTATAGGTTTCTCCACTACATCCTTTTTGAGAGCATCTGCAGGTGTCTTCAACGGTTCCTCTACAGGTTTGACTATAGTTTTCTCCACTACATCCTTTTGAAGAGCATCTGCAGGTGTCTTCAATGGTTCCTCTACAGGTTTGACTATAGGTTTCTCCACTACATCCTTTTTAAGAGCATCTGCAGGTGTCTTCAACGGTTCCTCTACAGGTTTGACTATAGTTTTCTCCACTACATCCTTTTTAAGAGCATCTGCAGGTGTCTTCAATGGTTCCTCTACAGGTTTGACTATAAGTTTCTCCACTACATCCTTTTTAAGAGCATCTGCAGGTGTTTTCAATGGTTCCTCTGCAGGTTTGACTATAAGTTTCTCCACTACATCCTTTTTAAGAGGATCTGCAGGTGTTTTCAATGGTTCCTCTGCAGGTTTGACTATAAGTTTCTCCACTACATCCTTTTTAAGAGGATCTGCAGGTGTTTTCAATGGTTCCTCTGCAGGTTTGACTATAGGTTTTTCCACTACATCCTTTTTATAAGCATCTGCAGGTTTCTTCAATGGTTCCGCTAGAAGTTTGACTATAGGTTTATCCACTACAGGAGCATCTGCTGGTGTCTTTGGTGGTTCTTCTACAGGTTTGACTGTTACATCCTCTGTATGTGCTCTCTTGGACTCCTCAAGGACAGGATATGGACTGGAACACATTCAGAATAATTATGAAGCATCTGATTGTTATTCGACACCTCATGAACTATTAAATATAGTATGTCATGAATTAATAAGTGAGAACATCTAAGACATTCTAACTTGCAAATGAAGAAATTAAAGGATAAAAGGCTCTATCCAGGAAAAAGAGCGCCACCAGACCTTTTGGCCAGATGGGACCCTCTCTTGACTGGTGTGTTTTCTGTTGAGCTCACAGGCCTAAGGGAGTGCAGATAGCTGGAGTTATTTGGATGGAAACATGCATGGAATGAAGAAACATTGAATACATAAATAACACACAAGGAAAATAAGAACAGCTCTCACTCAAACTTCCTTAAGGCTGACATGACATAAGAGCTTTGAGGGGTTGTGGACGTGTCCAGGCTAGAGGAGGCGGTGCCGCCACTCTTTGAACATGGTATGATGGAGGAAGTGACCCGACTGCTCTCAGGTGATGATTCATTCTTAGGCTTTACAAGCTTTGCTGGTTTACTGTTAGAGAGTGAACAGAAAAAAAAGTGAGATGGACTGAGAGACAATGATGTTAACATTGATCCATTTTTTTACGCCCCTTTCACACATACTCCGTTTGCAGTGTATGCGGTGCATTTTTTTTCCCGTACCCATGTTAACAGGTTAGAGCATTCATGGAATCACAGGAAAGACTTTAGACTGGTTGATACTACCACTCTCAGCCAGCAGGTGACAGCATAAGTGTGCATTTACCATTTTACATCTGACTGAGTGTCCAGAACCTCTTGAGATCTTTGAATCCAACTTCCATCTTTTTTCAAATGGGTTCGAACTTTTGTCGTCTGGAACACAGCCTGCCTGTTAACATCTACAATCACAGAAAACCACTGTCAGAGTCTGTTTTGTTCACAAGTGTATGTTTTATTTTTTGTGTTTGTGCATGTTTTTACCACTGGACATGATGAGATCCTCTTCCTCAGTCAGGCCTATATTAGAAAAAAATGAAGTAAAAGATCTGATATTTTTATTATTCCCCAGTTTCTCTATAGCCCATTTTAGTATATAATCCATTGTTTGATGCGCTCTTTTTATTTTTGGTTCCAATTTCTGTACTACACAGAAACACATGCACAAAACAACACAAATGCTGCACAACCACATTTTTTTGTCTTCAGTGTGTGCATTATCTCGCATACCATCTACAACAGAAACTCTGGAGCTGTCACAGTAAAATGTGTTGTGAATATCTTTGTCTTCTTCATGCAAGGTGCATGGAGGTTTCAGAGTTTCAAGAAGATCAGAGCAACTCAAAATTTAGACCCAAAAAAAAAAACGACAGTGTTACCCCTGTTTTTTTGTTTTTTTTTTGTTTTTTTTTTGGTGCGAAAAAATAAGCTTCTCCAATCTTCTTGAAACTCTGGATTCTGATAGAGGGCCTTGGGACTTAGACCTGTGTGCAAAAATGGAGGCTCTAGACCCTTCCAGAGCTGAGATGTTGAGATATTTATAATGGCTAAATGCTATGTGGTATCTCAATATCTCAGCTCTGGAAGGGTCTAGAGCCTCCATTTTTGCACTCAGGTGTAAGTCCCATGGCCCTCTATCAGAATCCAGAGTTTCAAGAAGATTGGAGAAACTTATTTTTCGCTCAAAAAAAAAAAAACCTTAAGGGGTAACACTGTCGTTTTGTTTTTTCTGGTCGAAATTTAGATTTTCGATATCTCAGCTCTGGAGGGGGTCTAAAGCCTCCATTTTTGTACTCAGGTCTAAGTCTCATGGCCCTCTATGAGAATCCAGAGTTTTGAGAAGATTGGGGATACTTAATTTTTCACCCAAAAAAAAAAAACGTAAGGGGTAACACTGTCGTTTTTTTTTTCTGGTCGAAATTTTAAGTTTCGATATCTCCGCTCTGGAAAGGTCTAGAGCGTCAATTTTTGCACTCAGGTGTAAGTCTCATGGCCCTCTATCAGAATCCAGACTTTCAAGAAGATTGGGGATACTTAATTTTTCACCCAAAAAAAAAACCGTAAGGGGTAACACTGTCGTTTTTTTTTCTGGTCGAAATTTTGATTTTCGATATCTCAGCTCTGGAGGGGTCTAAAGCCTCCATTTTTGCACTCAGGTCTAAGTCTCATGGCCCTCTATCAGAATCCAGAGTTTTGAGAAGATTGGGGATACTTAATTTTTCGCCCCAAAAAAAAAAAAAATGTAAGGGGTAACACTGTCGTTTTTTTTTTGGTCGAAATTTTGATTTTCGATATCTCAGCTCTGGAGGGGTCTAAAGCCTCCATTTTTGTACTCAGGTCTAAGTCTCATGGCCCTCTATCGGAATCCAGAGTTTCAAGAAGATTGGGGATACTTAATTTTTCGCCAAAAAAAAAAAAACGTAAGGGGTAACACTGTCGTTTTTTTTCTGGTCGAAATTTTGATTTTCGATATCTCAGCTCTGGAGGGGTCTAAAGCCTCAATTTTTGCACTCAGGTCTAAGTCTCATGGCCCTCTATCAGAATCCAGAGTTTTGAGAAGATTGGGGATACTTAATTTTTCGGCCAAAAAAAAAAAACGTAAGGGGTAACACTGTCGTTTTTTTTTCTGGTCGAAATTTTGATTTTCGATATCTCAGCTCTGGAGGGGTCTAAAGCCTCCATTTTTGTACTCAGGTCTAAGTATCATGGCCCTCTATCAGAATCCAGAGTTTTGAGAAGATTGGGGATACTTAATTTTTCGCCCCAAAAAAAACGTAAGGGGTAACACTGTCGTTTTTTTTTTCTGGTCTAAATTTTGAGTTTCGATATCTCAGCTCTGGAAGGGTCTAGAGCCTCCATTTTTGCACTCAGGTGTAAGTCCCATGGCCCACTATCAGAATCCAGAGTTTCAAGAAGATTGGGGATACTTAATTTTTCGCCCAAAAAAAAAAAACGTAAGGGGTAACACTGTCGTTTTTTTTTCTGGTCGAAATTTTGAGTTTCGATATCTCAGCTCTGGAAGGGTCTAGAGCCTCCATTTTTGCACTCAGGTGTAAGTCCCATGGCCCTCTATCAGAATCCAGAGTTTCAAGAAGATTGGGGATACTTAATTTTTCGCCCAAAAAAAAAAAAAACGTAAGGGGTAACACTGTCGTTTTTTTTTCTGGTCGAAATTTTGATTTTCGATATCTCAGCTCTGGAGGGGTCTAAAGCCTCAATTTTTGCACTCAGGTCTAAGTCTCATGGCCCTCTATCAGAATCCAGAGTTTCAAGAAGATTGGGGATACTTAATTTTTCGCCCAAAAAAAAAAAACGACAGGGTCGTTTTTTTTTTTTTTTTCGGGTCGAAATTTTGAGTTGCTCTGATCTTCTTGAAACTCTAGATTCTGATAGAGGGCCTTGGGACTTAGACCTGAGTGCAAAAATGGAGTCTCTAGACCCTTCCAGAGCTGAGATATGGACATCCCACATAGCATTTATGCCATTATAAAAATAGTGGGTTCGTGGACGGTGGAATTATGGGATGGCGCTTGGTGCTATGGACTCAGGGGAGCCTCCTGAGTGCAGTAAAGTAGTTTTTATCATGAAAGAAACTTTAATTAAAATGTTCAAAAAATACACTACCCAAATTCCATTGTCCACGAACCCACTATTTTTAAAATGGCATAAATGCAATATGTGGGATGTCCATATCTCAGCTCTGGAAGGGTCTAGAGACTCCATTTTGCACTCAGGTCTAAGTCCCAAGGCCCTCTATCAGAATCCAGAGTTTCAAGAAGATCGGAGCAACTCAAAATTTCGTCCCGAAAAAAAAAAACGACAGTGGTACCCCTGTCGTTTTTTGTTTTTTTTGTGCGAAAAAATAAGTTTCTCCAATCTTCTTGAAACTCTGGATTCTGAAAAAAAGGGCCTTGGGACTTAGACCTGAGTGCAAAAATGGAGTCTCAAGACCCTTCCAGAGCTGAGATATGGACATCCCACATAGCATTATGCCATTATAAAAATAGTGGGTTCGTGGACGGTGGAATTACGGGATGGCGCTACGGACAACAAAACAACAACATTTTTTATGTATTATGAAGAACTATTTAAAGATATTTAGCCTTGTTATTGTTCCTTTTTCCTGTGTATAAATATTATGATGTCATTTTATGATGTACACAAACCAATGATCTTTATGTTTTCTGTTTTGTCATTATGACTGTTATGGTATCTTTCCATGATTTTGTATGTAATAAGTTTATAAGTTTAAATTATATGAGCGACAGGTGCACTAACACTTCATAACATCAGTGACTCGACAGCACAACCTAGAACAGTTTTCCTCTGCGTTTGTAATGTCTGCACAAAGGAGACGGGCAGCTGCTCGAAGATCTCTTTTGGAGAAAACTGTTGATTTTATACTCGAAAAATGTAAGTATCACTCCTTAAAAATAATATTACCTCAGAATGAACTGCATTGTTAGCCCACCCCAACACTTAAACAAAATAATAATATTAAATGCTGACCAATACTTAATTATAACTTTTTATATACTAAAAATATAATTTAATATAACAAGCAAAATGTAATTTGTTTTGTCATATGACAGCATGAATACATTTATATTGATAAATTCAGTGAAACATCTCAATTGTCAGTCAATCGATGAATTAATGCATACATTAATTAAATAATTATATTTTTATATACTGACAACAATAAGAAAAATGAATAAATGAGTAAAAGAACAACTAAAAGTAACCATCACAATAAACAAATGCACATACAAGTCAACAACACATGAAACAAAGCTTTATTCAAACTACAATTTAGAGGTGCTGAACACCACATCCTACTGCCGACTCAACACAGCGGTTCCCATTCTGATGAATTCACCAGAGGTGACTGTGCCTTCGTCACAGAGCTTGTTGCTGCGCTGTGCTTCACAATCTGAGGCAATAAGGGCAGGTGGAGAGATAGAGGGTCTCGTAAAGTCAGGTGGAGAGATGGAGGGTCTCATCCATGGCACCACTTTCAGGTTGCAGCTCTGGGCTCCTCAGGTCTAAGTCTCATGGCCCTCTATCAGAATCCAGAGTTTTGAGAAGATTGGGGATACTTAATTTTTCGCCCAAAAAAAAAAAACGTAAGGGGTAACACTGTCGTTTTTTTTTCTGGTCCAAATTTTGATTTTCGATATCTCAGCACTGGAGGGGTCTAAAGCCTCCATTTTTGTACTCAGGTCTAAGTCTCATGGCCCTCTATGAGAATCCAGAGTTTTGAGAAGATTGGGGATACTTAATTTTTCACCCAAAAAAAAAAAAAACGTAAGGGGTAACACTGTCGTTTTTTTTTCTGGTCGAAATTTAGATTTTCGATATCTCAGCTCTGGAGGGGTCTAAAGCCTCCATTTTTGCACTCAGGTCTAAGTCTCATGGCCCTCTATCAGAATCCAGAGTTTTGAGAAGATTGGGGATACTTAATTTTTCGCCCAAAAAAAAAAAAACGTAAGGGGTAACACTGTCGTTTTTTTTTCTGGTCGAAATTTTGATTTTCGATATCTCAGCTCTGGAAGGGTCTAGAGCCTCCATTTTTGCACTCAGGTCTAAGTCTCATGGCCCTCTATCAGAATCCAGAGTTTCAAGAAGATTGGGGATACTTAATTTTTCGCCAAAAAAAAAAACGTAAGGGGTAACACTGTCGTTTTTTTTTTCTGGTCGAAATTTTGAGTTTCGATATCTCAGCTCTGGAAGGGTCTAGAGCCTCCATTTTTGCACTCAGGTGTAAATCCCATGGCCCTCTATCAGAATCCAGAGTTTCAAGAAGATTGGGGATACTTAATTTTTCGCCCAAAAAAAAAACGTAAGGGGTAACACTGTCGTTTTTTTTTCTGGTCTAAATTTTGAATTTCGATATCTCAGCTCTGGAAGGGTCTAGAGCCTCCATTTTTGCACTCAGGTGTAAGTCCCATGGCCCTCTATCAGAATCCAGAGTTTCAAGAAGATTGGGGATACTTAATTTTTTGGCCCAAAAAAAAAAAAACGTAAGGGGTAACACTGTCGTTTTTTTTTCTGGTCGAAATTTTGAGTTTCGATATCTCAGCTCTGGAAGGGTCTAGAGCCTCCATTTTTGCACTCAGGTGTAAGTCTCATGGCCCTCTATCAGAATCCAGAGTTTTGAGAAGATTGGGGATACTTAATTTTTCGCCCAAAAAAAAAAACGTAAGGGGTAACACTGTCGTTTTTTTTTCTGGTCGAAA